CAGACTTCGACTCCCTCAGGGAACGGATGGCCAGGATCCCCTGGGGGACTAACTTGAAGGGGAAAGGAGTCCAGGAGAGCTGGCTGTATTTCAAGGAATCCCTGTTGAGGTTACAGGGACAAACCATCCCGATGAGTCGAAAGAATAGTAAATATGGCAGGCGACCAGCTTGGCTTAATTGTGAAATCCTAGCGGATCTTAAACATAAAAAAGAAGCTTACAAGAAGTGGAAGGTTGGACATATGACCAGGGAAGAGTATAAAAATATTGCTCGGGCATGTAGGAATGATATCAGGAGGGCCAAATCGCACCTGGAGCTGCAGCTAGCAAGAGATGTCAAGAGTAACAAGAAGAGTTTCTTCAGGTATGTTGGCAACAAGAAGAAAGCCAAGGAAAGTGTGGGCCCCTTACTGAATGAGGGAGGCAACCTAGTGACAGAGGATGTGGAAAAAGCTAATGTACTCAATGCTTTTTTTGCCTCTGTCTTCACGAACAAGGTCAGCTCCCAGACTGCTGCGCTGGGCATCACAAAATGGGGAAGAGATGGCCAGCCCTCTGTGGAGATAGAGGTGGTTAGGGACTATTTAGAAAAGCTGGATGTGCACAAGTCCATGGGGCCGGACGAGTTGCATCCGAGAGTGCTGAAGGAATTGGCGGCTGTGATTGCAGAGCCATTGGCCATTATCTTTGAAAACTCGTGGCGAACGGGGGAAGTCCCGGATGACTGGAAAAAGGCTAATGTAGTGCCAATCTTTAAAAAAGGGAAGGAGGAGGATCCTGGGAACTACAGGCCAGTCAGCCTCACCTCAGTCCCTGGAAAAATCATGGAGCAGGTCCTCAAAGAATCAATCCTGAAGCACTTGCATGAGAGGAAGGTGATCAGGAACAGCCAGCATGGATTCACCAAGGGAAGGTCATGCCTGACTAATCTAATCGCCTTTTATGATGAGATTACTGGTTCTGTGGATGAAGGGAAAGCAGTGGATGTATTGTTTCTTGACTTTAGCAAAGCTTTTGACACGGTCTCCCACAGTATTCTTGTCAGCAAGTTAAGGAAGTATGGGCTGGATGAATGCACTATAAGGTGGGTAGAAAGCTGGCTAGATTGTCGGGCTCAACGGGTAGTGATCAATGGCTCCATGTCTAGTTGGCAGCCGGTATCAAGTGGAGTGCCCCAAGGGTCGGTCCTGGGGCCGGTTTTGTTCAATATCTTCATAAATGATCTGGAGGATGGTGTGGATTGCGCTCTCAACAAATTTGCGGATGATACTCAACTGGGAGGAGTGGTAGATACGCTGGAGGGGAGGGATAGGATACAGAAGGACCTAGACAAATTGGAGGATTGGGCCAAAAGTAATCTGATGAGGTTCAATAAGGATAAGTGCAGGGTCCTGCACTTAGGATGGAAGAATCCAATGCACCGCTACAGACTAGGGACCGAATGGCTAGGCAGCAGTTCTGCGGAAAAGGACCTAGGGGTGACAGTGGACGAGAAGCTGGATATGAGTCAGCAGTGTGCCCTTGTTGCCAAGAAAGCCAATGGCATTTTGGGATGTATAAGTAGGGGCATAGCGAGCAGATCGAGGGACGTGATCGTTCCCCTCTATTCGACATTGGTGAGGCCTCATCTGGAGTACTGTGTCCAGTTTTGGGCCCCACACTTCAAGAAGGATGTGGATAAATTGGAGAGAGTCCAGCGAAGGGCAACAAAAATGATTAGGGGTCTAGAACACATGACTTATGAGGAGAGGCTGAGGGAGCTGGGATTGTTTAGTCTGCGGAAGAGAAGGATGAGGGGGGATTTGATAGCTGCTTTCAACTACCTGAAAGGGGGTTCCAAAGAGGATGGCTCTAGACTGTTCTCAATGGTAGCAGATGACAGAACGAGGAGTAATGGTCTCAAGTTGCAGTGGGAGAGGTTTAGATTGGATATTCGGAAAAACTTTTTCACTAAGAGGGTGGTGAAACACTGGAATGCATTACCTAGGGAGGTGGTAGAATCTCCTTCCTTAGAGGTTTTTAAGGTCAGGCTTGACAAAGCCCTGGCTGGGATGATTTAACTGGGAATTGGTCCTGCTTCGAGCAGGGGGTTGGACTAGATGACCTTCTGGGGTCCCTTCCAACCCTGATATTCTATGATTCTATGTTTCTGAATTATCCAGTCTGTGTTCATCAGCAGAAGAGCCTCAGTGTTGCTGTTGCTTGGCATTATTGCGCTTAATTACTGATCTGAAGACTGAACCACTTTTAGGTTTCAAAAGTCTCTGGAACTAAGAAGTGATCCAGGGCTTTTGTCAAAGGAAAAGTTGAGCGTTCTTTTCTTCAGCTATTGTACCTCTCCCTCATCATCCCAGAGCATCAACTAGAGACTTAAATTCAGTTAAGAGAATCTTCTTCTCAAAGGTATCCCCTGAACATGAGCATCAACAACTCACCTTCAATTTCATTTTCTTCAGGGATCCCACTCACAAATTCAAGAAAAAGCATTTTCCTAAATTTAGGCACATTAGAGCCTGGCCTTCTAGTGCCAGCAGGGACAACTTCATATTCTTAACAGTCACAGAACTAAATGGAATCTCAGAAAATTAGAGATTCTACAGCAGGCCCAGCCTTAATTACAAGCAAGGCAAGGGAGATGCTTGAATCCCATGCATTCTCTGCAATTCACAAGCTAATCCTATATTGCTCTGTGGCAAAGGAGAAAACCCTCTGCACAAATTCCAGCTGAGAACAACATCTATGCTTGAATTTCCTCCCTACTGACAGTTTAGGGCCACATAAATTATAAGGACATCCCTGTTTTTAGTTGAGCCAGCCTCCTACTCCGCGGGAGCAGAATTTGGTACTGAATCAGATACAAGGCCTACTTTTTCAGTCCATACGTAAGTAGTGTCTTTGGTCCCATGCTCTTATTGCGTTTCCTTACTGGTCATCCCAACTGCCGATAATGTCAGTCAGCTGCAAGGCCTGCTGAAAGATGTATGGCTTAGTCTTCCATAAAAATAAATTAGTCCTCAGGATGCCCATTTCCTCCCAAAGGATTTATCCAGTCCTTTCCACTTTGTCTTTTTTCCTCAGACACTGAGTACCCAGGGGAGAATACATTGTCACTTTCCCCCCTGTTCTTCAACCCTTCCTTCCTTCAGGGATAATGATTTAGAATCTTCAAAGAGTAGGAATCTGTGGAGGATAATCCCAAATTAAGGAGAACAACAGGTTATTTACCAGTAACAGGAGTTCTCCTATTGGCTCATTTCCCCCACAGATCCATTCTGTCCCACCTGCCTCTCTATTGAGAACTACAGTCAGCTTGCAGTGGAACCGAAGGAGGGTGTGATAGTGACACACTCGTAGTCTGGAGGTAAAATGACATTCAATGCATGCGCTAGTGCATATGTTTACTTACCTGAAATTTGACAATTTCAACAGCTCTGTAATGTCTGAGGTGGTGCTCTCACATATGCCTAAAGAGAACCCGGCTCTTTGGAACAGATAACCCAATAAAAGAAATTCAGTTACTGGTAAGTAACACAATTTTATTTGATTTAAGATGCTGAGCCACAATTATAATGATTCCTGATCACCTTCATTAATCTGTAACAGTTGAAGTGGCCATCTGCTTATTTTGTGCACATGATTATTGATTATTATAATTAACAAACTAATATTTTATCCTGAAGAGAGAAACTGTGAATGCAAATTCCAGGAAATTAATTAATAACTTTTGTTATGTGAGAATTATAAATAGCTTTTCTTTTAAAGATTGTGCTGATTTTCAAATTCTAACTCAGAATGTGAGAGAAAGCACCACATCTGCTAGGCTCAAAATTTGACCAATATTTTTGAGCTGTTTGTAAAATCTATGCAATTCTTTATGTACTTCATTCTGCTCTTGTAGAAATAAAATCTCCAACTGATTTTGGTTGTGCAGAATCAGGTCCAAATTAAAGAGAAACCTAATTCACTTCAGTGGGCTTTGAATCAAGCCCTTTAAAAAAACAGTCCATTATATACCTAAATGTCTTAGAAATCAAAAGTTTCAGGGAAATTGCCAACTAGCATATGGTATGTCCATGTTTACTTCATTCTATTCAACTGTGAAACAAATATGTTTTTCTCTTCTTTGCTGTGTGATAAAACATTTAACAGAAAAAAATGTTATAAATAATCAGTTTTTTAATTTAAAAAGTCATGTTCTTCCTAACTATCATAAAGCATCTTTCTGTTTGCAGACATCTAGGAGTATTAACTTCCTTATCTGTAAATACTGTAAACTTCCATTCTTGGAAAGGGATTTTATTGCTATGGCTTTAAAGGACTTTTCTCCAACTTCCATGTTTTTGTCTTTATTAAACTTTCTTTTTTCTCAAGCTCCTCATAGTCTACATTGTGACCTCATGTATTTATATAGCTTTTCATGTATATTTCAATGGCTATGTATATTCATTCTTCCCCCCACACACACATACATTTTAAGAGAGAGTGCTATTTAGAAACATTGGCCTGATTCTGATTTCAGATTTTACACTTAGGTAACTCTGTTGACTTCAGTGGAATAAACTTCTGATATACACTGGTGTAAGTGGGCTCCAAATCAAGCCTAATATATATTTAGAGCCTTCTGAACTGTGTGAACTCATACTATTTTGTTTATTCAACTAAATTATTTTGGTCCCATTCCTGCCATGGGAGATGCATACAAAACTTTCAATAATTTGACATGTAGGGCATACCCTCTGGCCAGATCAAAGAGGGAATTTTGGGGAGTGTATCCCGTGCCCAGATAAAGAAGGTGTTGGATCTATATCCCATGGTTGGATCAGCTCTAAAACAGAAGAGTAGATAGGATAGGTATTTAAATTTTGCTAAGCTTAGAAGTTGCGTGTGTGATATTTTAATGACTTTTCCAGCATTAATGTGAAAAATATGTTTGTGTTTCAAAGGAGATCAGTACTGCAAACAGAAATGCTAACTTGTCATTGTATTTTCTTTTTGTATAGATACCCTGCAATCTCAACTTATCAATATGGGCGTTATCCCTACGTTAGTGAAATTGTTGGGCGTTCATTGCCAAAATGCAGCTCTGACTGAAATGTGCCTTGTTGCATTTGGCAATTTAGCAGAACTTGGTAAGTCCAGGATCGTAACCCCAAACTACTGTCAAATTGTTTAACAAAGATGTTTTGTTGTTTTAAAATTAAACCAATTAATTTTAACTGCATTTTTCAGTCCTCTAAATGTATGCAAAATAAAAAGCTTGGGAGCTCTGCTTATTGTCTCTTTAGAATTTATAGCTGGTTGTCTGCCTTTGTAAACCAACTTAAATTCATCTGGGTACTTACTACAACTAACAGTTTATGTTAAAGGTATTTCATGGAACGATGTGTATTTTAAATTATCTAGGTTTCTCTCCTTGAATATTGTTACTTAGTGTGAACCTGTGGCAAAGGGCCAAATTCAGACCCTGTTCAATTCCACTTAAAGTTAAATGAGGGATGAATTTGGCTCAAGGAAACATTCCCCAAATGGGAATGGGGACAGACTCGATTCATAAACTTTTCTCTCACCAGTAAGAGTATATACCGTTAAAAATGTCCGAGGCTACATACTTGCATTTATAAATAATTACAAATGAGAAGAAAGAGTTGATGTCAGCTTGGCAGGTGAAATCACAACTGCATTTTAGAAAACGCATGTAAAATTTGATCAGATCACATTTTGGTCAGCTCTGTGGCCCAAATTCTGCTCTGATTCACCTGTACAATACCATCGCTTTCAATAGCATTGCATGGAGTGTAAACCAGCACAGCATTTGGCTCTATATTTTATTATTCATTCATTGTCTGTTGGTGATATTGTAGAATATCAGTTGAGTTCCAGGCATTTTAAGAACTGGTGCCCAAATTCTGTCCTGATGCAAAAAAAATCACCTGCACACGTAGCCCTGTGATTTGTGTTTGCTAAGGGATATAGCAGTATTCCAAGAAACCGTTATAAAATTGCAACGCTGAAAAGCTGGATGGTTTGAGATATTAACAATAGATTATATGGGGGGTTTTATTTTCAGACCAAGGCAAAATAATTGGAAGTTGCTAGCATCTGATAGCCATTTGGTGGCCTGAAATTATTAGATAGCTCATAGATTCATAGGGTTGAAGGCAAGAGAGACCATTATGATCAACTAGTCTAACCATGTATATAACACAGGCCATAATGTGTCACCCAGTAATTCCTGCATCAAGCCCAGTGTATTAGTTTCAGAACTGCTTCTGGTGGACAAGTTTCCATATAACAACAAAAGAGCTATCAGACTTGACACTAATGGCAAATATTAAATTGTAAATTCTTCAGGCAGGAATCATGTCTTTATATGAGTGTACGTTACACAGCACACATGGGCCCCAATTTTTACTGAGGACTTTCAGTACTAGCCCAATACAGATAAATAAATAAATAGCATTAATTATTAATAATCTTTGCTAGTCTCTCCACTGATGTCCCCAGGGCTGAATGAACAAAGAGACTGAACTATTCTCCCATCCTCAGAGGTGGTCTAGGTTTTTCAGATAAGGGTTGAGACACTGTGGCAGAACCATACAAAGGAAACTTGCTTGAGTGCTACTCTTGCTGTACCTGCACAATGAATGAATATGTTGAGTACAATCTTCAGGTCTTTATAGGTATTTATACACTGCAATAAAAGATCCCACGGTAAGGCCATAGACATTCAGGCTTGTGTTGGAACCCATGAGGTGGGTGAGCATCTCAGAGCCCGGGTTCCAGCCCACGCCTGAATGTCTACACTGCAATTTTTAGCCCTGCAGCCCAAGCAATGTGAGCCAGAGTCAGCTGGCCCAGGCTCCGGGACTCAGTGACACAGGTTTTCTATCATAATATAGACATACCCTCACAGTTTGGCAATAAATTAATGTAACTTTTAATAATTTAATCCCATATCAGAATTGCACTAGAAAGTCTTATGATAACTTTAATACTTCAGTTTTGCTTTGTAACCATAGGATCTTATTCTTTGGTCCTTACCTCTCAATAATATAAAGGAGACCCTGCATAATACAATTAACTCCCTTGTTTAGCATTATGTAAAACTCCCATTCTGCTGTGTTAAAGTAGAGCACAAGCCTAGTAAAAAAGGGTGGAGATAGGGTAAAAATAGGTGTTACTAATTTACCAATTTATTTGTAGGTATAAGTGGGGTGGTGGGAGTGGTACAGTGGTTCTCAGGTAAGTTAGGCTGCCTCAGAATTAGGCAGCTCGCTCGTTTCCTCATGGAATGAGAGGCATTAAACTTGCCCTACTCTAAGAAAGCACACCTGAATTCTAAAGTGCCACACTTTTTTAAAACAACCTCTCTCTTTGTCAGATGTGTAAATATTATCATTTTCATTTAAAAAGCTGAGGCTGGTTTTGTGGCCTTTATGGAAATTTAGCTCTAAATGAGTAATTGTGAAGCTATAAGCCCTAAAACGTTTTTCCTCTTAAAATTCCTCAACATGAGCAAAGAGAAAAGGAGACAGTGTCAAGAACTGGGAAGTAGCTCCCTTTTCTGTGGACACATGGAAAATCCTGTTGAGGGGAATTGCTGCAATACTGCAGCATGGACCTGATCCAAAGCCCACTGAAGTCAATGAGCCATATGGCTTCTTACGTAGCTGCAGCTGCACATCTAGAGACTGGAAGAAAGCTGCTTGAGACAGTCGTCCAAGTGGAAGCATTTTAGATTGGGGCACCTTTCACTGCAAAACCCAAATATGGCTATCAGAAAACACCTTCTGTTCTTACAAAGAGTCAGAGAGTAACCCCAAGAGAGTATTTCACTCAGGTCAGATACAAAACCTATGCAGTAGAATTAGTCTCTAGGATAGTTTTAAAAATGAAGAAGCCAGATTAAAGAATTAGGGAAATATACTTAAATGACAAATCATGCTGAGTTATAATTAATGAAGTTAAGGAGTTAAAAACCAGGCAAGCGAATACATGTTTTTATTTATTTATATTTTTGCAAGCATATGTGAGCTATAGCCTTGGCCCAGACAATACTGTTTTGCTACTTCAGTGTTGGGATTTCTAAAAACTATCCTTGTGTACTTGATGACCCCATTAGAAGCCTCACAAGACGTTTGGAAGCAGAAATTGCTATTTCAGCACAGGAGATTTTGGGATCTAGAGTTTAGCATGGTTTGGAAGGATCACACAATCCTGCAGCTCATCTTTTAAGTATTTCTGCTCTCAAGGTCCTGATCATGCTTCCATTGAAGTCAATGGCAAAACTCTTACTGATTTCAGTGGAACATGAATGACCTCAAGAAATTCAATTTATGCTACTCTTTAGAGATATGAAGATACAGATCAATAGACAGAACTAACAGAGAAGTCGGTGTTTTCCTCTCCCCAGATTTTAGATTGTGGAGTCAGGTTCTGATCACAATTAAATGGATATAAATCCAGAATAATGTCATTGGCGTCAATGGAGTTATTCCAGATTTACACTGGTGTAACTAAGGTCAAAATCTGACCTTCCTCTTTTAAAATACTAAGATTGAAATCCATTGTAGAAGCCATTCTGTACCCAGGCATTTTAAGTGAAAAAAATATATAATTTGCATGCTGAGGCCCAGATCTTCATTTGAGAGTGCACAGCACAGTGTTGGGCAGAGGGTGCTTTCCAAATCCTAGGACAACAGTGTGCTAATTAGAGCAGCCTGACAGCTGCTGTAAATTATCCCATCTGCCAGTGGCCTCAGGGGACCATTACAGTAGCTGGGGATTGCTGGGACTCTGGTCAACACCAGCCACGTCCCCTTTACTACTGGACGCTGCAGCCAGAGGGCAGGAGTCACTATGTTGACTCTACACCACTGGGTGATCCTCCTGTGGCCAACTATGGTCCCTTTAGAACTGCGATGTGCAGGGGGTGTGGCTTAAAGCAGCCATAGCACAAGAGAGAATCTGACTTTGTGGCTTCAGCTGTGTAGATATTCCAAAGTAAATGCTACCAGCATGCAACCATGTAAATATTAATAATGTCCATACGACCCTTTATCTCGGCAATAGAAAATTCAGTACATGACGTATAATTTTTCTTTTTGGTCTGAAGGCAAACTCTCAGTTTATATCTTTGTAATTTTACTGTTGCTATGGATACCTTTATATTCTGCTGGTGCAAAAGTTTTAATAGCCTTGGACATAATTAATAATTCAGGTCAGTACATTTTTCTTTTCATTTAATGACAAGTGTAAGTATTGAAGTGTATTGCTCTTGTCTGTGAAGAGCAGTTAGCCCAATTAATCATTGTGTTGAATAAATCTGGTAATAAAGAGGAAAGAAAAGTTTGATTTGGTTTGTTTACACTCTGTTTGCCCTTTTTATTTCACAGAATCAAGCAAAGAGCAGTTTGCCTACACAAACATTGCTGAAGAGATTGTAAAACTATTCAAGAAACAAATAGAACATGACAAAAAAGAGATGATTTTTGAAGTTTTGGCTCCTCTGGCAGAAAATGGTGAGAAGTTGATCATCTTTTATTGCCATACAGTAATTTTCATTTTTTGCTTATTTGTACACCAGCTTTTCAAAAATAGCCAACTTGTCAGTAATTATTTCATACTTTACCTTGCTCAGCAATTTAACCTTTTCTGTGGAAGTCATATTAATTGAGCCATCTGATAGCAACTGGAGATGAAGAGTAATGTGAATATTGCCTAGCAGCCTAAGCATACAACTGGGTGTCACCAATTCCTGGGACATGGTCCCACCTCTATCGTCAACTCCTTCTGTGTCTTTCTTGCCTCAGTTTCTCTGTATTTCAAACTGGAATATTAATACCAACTTTTGTATGTTACAGGGCTTTATGAGGATTATTAGGTTTGTGAAATGATTTGAATATAAATTTTTTCCTATAGTGGATTTATAAGTATTTCAATGAATTACATTTGTTCGAATATAGTATTATTGTCATACTTATTTTAATTATTTGATAAAATTATAAAGATCATGATCTAGTTACTACTAAGTAACTATTTAAATTGTGGCACTTTTTCAGGGTGTTACCCTCTTTACTTTACTCTTGGCCCTCTGCTTTAAACACCATCTTTTGGTTCAGAAGATTTGGATGAGACTTCTTTGGGAGCTTGTTATTGTCACCCCTTCGGTTAGCTGAAAGGATTTTCCTAAGTAACATAAGAGACTCCATTTCCCCCTCAAGGGCTACATGACCTTCTTTCATAGTTGTGTAATCCTTGAGGAATGAAAGAACAGGACTGATAACCAAAGCAGCTCTCCTAGATCATTACAACACAAGCAGGTGATTTTTTTTTTCTTTTTCTTTTTTTTTTAAACAACTGACATTTTGGTCATATTTATTATGAAAATTTTCTTGTATAAGGATATTTAAATTGTACAGCCAAAGATCAGGGCAGTCCATGAGATATAAAGTCTGGAAATGGCAGTGTAATAGTTTAATCATAGAAAGCATAAAAAGGTAGGGCTGCAAAAGACCTTTGAGAGGTTATCTAGTCCAGTCCCCTGTGCTAAGGCAGGACCAAGTGTATCTAGACTGTCACTGGCAGGTGTTTGTTTAACCTGTGCTTAAAACCTACAATGATGGATTCCACAACCTCCTGGGAAGGCTATTACAGTGTTTAACTATCCACATAGTTAGAAAGTTTTTCCTAAAATCTAACCTAAATCTTCCTTGCCGCAGATTAGGCCCAGTATTTCTTGTCCTACCTCCAGTGAACATGGAGTATAATTAATCACCATCGTCTTTATTACAGCTATTAACACATTTGAAGACTTATCAGTTCCCCCCCCTTAGTCTTCTTTTATCAAGACTATCAGTTTTTTTAACCTTTCCTCATAGGTCAGATTTTTGAACTTTTTATCATTTTTGTTTCTCTCCTCTGCAATTTCTTCAGTTTGTCCACATCTTTCCTGAAGTGTGGCGCCTAGAACTGGACACAGTACGCCAGCTGATGCCTCACCAGTGCCGAGTAGAATGAAACAATTATCTCCCATGCCTTAATACACCCCAGAATGATATTAGCCTTTTTAGTAACTGAATCACATTATTCATTCATATTTACTTTGTGATCCACTATCACTCTCTTATCCTTTTCAGCAGTACTGCTGCCTAGCCAGTTATTCCCCATTTTGTAGTTGTGCATTTGATAGTTTCTTCCTAAGCGTATGTGTTGCACTTGTCTTTATTGAATTGCATCTTGTTGAATTTGTCAAGGCCATTTTGAATTCTAATGCTGTCTTCTTACAAAGTTCTTACAACCTCTCCCAGTTTGAAATCTGCAGATTTTATAAGCATGCTTTTACTCCATTATCCACATCATTAATGGAAATATTGAATAGTACCAGACCCAAAACAGACCCCTTTGGGACCTCAGTAGTATGTCCCCCCAATTTGACAGCAAACCATCCATAACTACTCCTTGAATATGGTCTTTCAACCAGTTTTGAACCCACTTTATAGTAATTTAATCTAGATCACATTTCCCTAGTTTGCTTGTGAGAATGGCACGTGGGACTGTGTCAAAAACTTTACTGTACTCCAGATATATCAAATCTACAGCTCCCCCCCCATACCCCATCCAGTAGGCCAGTAACTCTATTGAAGAAAATTGGGTTGGTTTGACAAGAATTGTTCTGTATAAATCCAGATTGGCTATTATTTATTAGCACCTATTATCCTGTAGGTGCTTACAAATGGATTGCTTAGTAATTTGTTCCAGTATCTTTTCAGGTATCAAAATTAAGCTGACTAGGCTATAATTCCTGGAGTCGTCTTTTTTTTCTTTTTAAAGATGGGTACGGTGTTTGCCCTTCTCCACTCCCCCGGGATCTCACCCATCCTCCAGCAGTTCTAAAAGAGAATCGCTAACAAACAGTTCTGAGATTGCTTCAGCCAGTTCCTTAAGTTCCCTTGGGTGCATTTCATCAGCCGTGCTGACTTGAATACTTATCTAAATATTCTTTAACTTGTTGTTTTCCTATTTTGGCTTGTGTTCTTTCCCCCTTGTAGTTAATATTCCTTATGTTAATACATTCGTCTCAGGAGACTTGAGTTCAAATTCTGTTTTGGTTGTAAATGCAAAAGAGTTGTTCAGGATCAGCTTACTTCCTTCTGAACATGCCTGCATCCCTAGGAAAATTCAGCACAGTTTGTATGATTTAACATCTATGCTTGAGTGAAGCCTAGGGATGAGGTATCAGGTGGAGTAGGTGAGGACCGAGCTGTGAGGCAGATCTGTGTTCGGAGGATCACTCAGTACCTGCCCACTGCATGCATAGCTCTAGCCAGTGCTACTATTCATGAGTGACAAATGTATGCCCCCACACACTTCTTGTTTAGAAAGGAAAAAAATCTTGAGAGAATCCTGTGCTCTTTCCCATGTTTGGGGACAACTTCTTTCCCAGATTACACCCTGTGCCACCCTGTTTACTAGTGGGTTTCACAGGATGTAAATCAAAGCAAAATGTGGGTCTTTATTTTCCAAACATTAAGAAATGTGCATTTTTGCCAGAGACTGTCTTTTTTGTTACAAGCAATGGTTGAAATTTTTTTTTCCCTTTTTCAGTCTGACAGCAGAATTTGGTCTGCTGTTTTCATAAATGATACTTGTAATGCAGATACTTTAGTTTTTGTTCAAAGGCTGTGTTTTGCAGTCACAGTAAGACAGAGCAGGCTCTGTGCTGTTGAAAATAACATCCCTTCATGCATGTTAGGAGGTAGTGTGCTAAGCATTTATGCCCCTCACTGTTAATTCAAGACACACTGATGTCTGTCACAACAGTGAGTCTGCCATCCTTGTATTGCTTAGCCGCATCTAAATGTGGTGGTGGGTAGTATGTCAGCGAGCTGAAACATTTAAATTAAGTACTTGCACAGTCAATCCATTTATTGAAAGGACCTGTGCAGTGGTTTCCAATTCTAATCACAACACACCTGCAACCTAGTATTCTGTATCCACGGAAACACCCTACTTTTTAAAGTAGCTCAGTACAAAAATACCAATTTAAAACACTCCCAGCTGAACATTCCTGGGCCTGTCACATAAAGTTCACGCAAAGGTCAGTAGCTCCGCCAGAAACATTGAATTTTCACTCATGTAGCAAAACCTAGTGACTAAAGTAGAAGCATTACCTGGGGAGAGTCAGACCACTGATTCTTCAAGATAGGTGAAGCTGGCAGCTCCAGTCACCACCCCATGCCACAGTCCATTTCCAAATCTTATGAAAAGCAACCTCCAAAATCCCCAGAGCTTTAAAAAGACCTAAAACAATGGGCCAAGGTCATCACTGGTGTAACACGTGATCTCAATTATTTATTTATTAATGTTCAGACTTTCCCATGGCACCAATGACTGTATTTTCCGAGCACCACAAAAATACTAACTGAAATATCCTCACAACACCTGTGAGACAGGAAAGTACTTGTTACCCCTGTTTTACCCATGGGAATGGAGAGTGACTGACTTCCCTGAGGTCACATTAGGAAGACTTGTAGAGCTAGGAGCAGACCCCAGATCCCACTTCAATGCCTTAACAAGATCATCCTTCCTCTCCCTTAAGCCTCATTGATTTCAATAAGAGAGCAGAATTCAGCCTAGTAATTTCTGCAAAAAGAACAGGCATACTTGTGGCACCTTGGAGGCTAATAAATTTATTGGAGCATAAACTTTTGAAGGATTCTGCGTGGACTCCTCCTGAAGGTCGAAACAACAGATTAGACTTCTATGTAGATTGCTTCCGGTGACGTGCACGGGCTGAAATTGTGGAAAATCAGCATCACTTGCCCCATAACCTCAGCCGTGCTGAACACAACACCATCAACAGCCTCAGCCGATGAAGTGAGCTGTAGCTCACAAAAGCTGATGCTCAAATAAATTTGTTAGTCTCTAAGGTGCCACAAGTCCTCCTTTTCTTTTTGAGGAACAACTCTGACATCATAATCAAAAAGGCTGACAAAGGAGGTGCTGTCATCATCGTGAATAAGTTGGAATATGAACAAGAGGCTGCTATGCAGCTCTCTAACTCCATATTCTACAGGCCATTAAGCTCTGATCCCACTGATGGTTTCCAAAAGAAACTACACTATCTGCTCAAGAAACTCCCTGAAAAAGCACAGGAACAGATCTGTGCAGACACATGCCTAGAACCCCAACCAGGGGTATTCTATCTGCTGCCCAAGATCCATAAACCTGGAAAACCTAGACACCCCATCATCTCAGGCATTGGCACCCTGATAGCAGGATTGTCCGGCTATACGGACTCTCTCCTCAGGCCCTACGCTACCAGCACTTCCAGCTATCTTTGAGACACCACTGACTTCCTGAGGAAACTACAATCCATCGGTGATCTTCCTGAAAACACCATCCTGGCCACTCTGGATGTAGAAGCCCTCTACACCAACATTCCACACAAAGATGGACTACAAGCCGTCAAGAACACTATCCCCGATAATGTCACGGCTAACCTGGTGGCTGACCTTTGTGACTTTGTCCTCACCCACAATTATTTCACATTTGAGGACAATGTATACCTTCAAATCAGCGGCACTGCTATCGGTACCCACATGGCCCCAGAGTAATGTGAACATTTTTATGGCTGACTTAGAACAACACTTCCTTAGCTCTCGTCCCCCAACGCCCCTACTCTACTTGCGCTACATTGATGAAATCTTCATCATCTGGACCCATGGAAAAGAAGCCCTTGAGGAATTCCACCATGATTTCAACAATTTCCATCCCACCATTAACTTCAGCCTAGACCAATCCACACAAGCGGTCCATTTCCTGGACACTACCATGCTAATAAGCGATGGTCACATAAACACCACCCTATAACGGAAACCTACTGACCACTATACTTACCTACATGCCTCCAGCTTCCATTCAGGCCACACCACACGATCCACTGTCTACAGCCAAGCTCTAAGATACAACCGCCTTTGCTCCAATCCCTCAGACAGAGACAAACACCTACAAGATCTCTATTAAGCATTCTTAAAACTACAATACCCACCTGCTGAAGTGAAAAAACAGAGTGACAGAGCCAGAAGAGTACCCAGAAGTCACCTACTACAGGACAGGCCCAACAAAGAAAATAACAGAACGCCACTAGCTGTCACCTTCAGCCCCCAAATAAAACCTCTCCAGCGCATCATCAAAGATTTACAACCAATCCTGAAAAATGATCCCTCACTCTCACAGATCTTGGGAGACAGACCAGTCCTCGCTTCCAGACAGCCCCCCAACCTGAAGCAAATACTCTCCAGCAACCACACAACAAAAACACTTACCTAGGAACCTATCCTTGCAACAAAGCCTGATGCCAACTCTGTCCACATATTTATTCAAGTGACACCATCATAGGACCTAATCACATTAGCCACGCCATCAGGGGATCGTTTACCTGCACATCTATCAATGTGATCTATGCCATCATGTGCCAGCAGTGCCCCTCTTCCATGTACATTGGCCAAACCAGACAGTATCTACACAAAAGAATAAATGGACACAAATCTGACATCAGGAATCATAACATTCAAAAACGGGTAGGAGAACACTTCAACCTCTCTGGCCACTCAGTAAAAGATTTAAGGGTGACAATTTTGCAACAGAAAAGCTTCAAAAACAGACTCCAACGAGAAACTGCTGAGGTTGAAGTAATATGCAAACTAGATACCATTAACTTGGGTTTGAATTGAGACTGGGAGTGGCTGGGTCATTACACATATTGAATCTATTTCCCTAAGTTAAGTATCCTCACTCACCTTCTTGTCAACTGTCTAAATGGGCCATCTTGATTATCACAACAAAAGTTTTTTTGCTCCTGCTGATAATAGCTCATCTTAACCGCTTACACTTTGTATGGAAACTTCAAACGTCTCTGTATGTGTGTGTTATATATCTTCTTACTATATGTTCCATTCTATGTATCTGATGAAGTGGGCTGTAGCCCATGAAAGCTTAAGCTCTAATAAATTTGTTAGTCTCTAAGGTGCCACAAGTACTCCTGTTCTTTTTGTGGATACAGACTAACACGGCTGATACTCAAACTAGTAATTTCTGATTACCCATGAGCAAGGAACAAAACTCCCTCCCAATTCAACAACCAGAAGTTGGCCTTGGCCCTGCTCTTGCTGCAGTCAAATACCCTTAGATGTAATAGGCAAAATCCTGGCTCCACCAAAGTCAATGAGAGTTTTGCCATTGACTACAGTGGAGCCAGGATTTCACCCTGTGATATTATATACACACGCACGCACCTACCTCCCATTAAAGTCAGTGGGGTTTCTGCATTGAAAGACAAGAACAGAGCCTCACGTTTTGTTCTAAAATTTTAGCACTGAAACTTGCTGTCCAAGGCCCATGGGAAGCCTAATGCAGCATAACCTGTGTGATTCTGCCCCCTGAGGTGGGAGGTCAGCATGCAAGGATCCTCCACAGGGGATTCATACCCTTGAAAATCATGGTGTACAGTTCCAAGGGGGCTCCAGGGCCAATGTGGTGAGAAGATTTGAGGGCAAGCCAGAGCAACAGCAGAGCTGGTGGATCTGTGACTACATAGATCTGCTGAGCCAAGTATACTTGCTGTTAGGGGGTGAAGGCAGTCACAGCAGCTTGAGCACTGCAGCCCTGAGTCTGGAGAAGTAGCCCGGTGGGATTCCTTCTTCTGCAGACATCCCCGCACACAGCCTTGGATTCTGACACAGAGACAGAAGCAAGCAAATTCCAAAGTAAGAGGTTTAACCACAGCTCACTCTGTTGTGCCTGGCTATGGGAAGGGATCTCAGTACATTTTAATAATTATTATTTATTATTTGTATTGCAATAGCATTTAGGAGCCCCAGTCATAGATCAGAATCCGACCGTGCGAGGGGCTGCCCCAAAGAGCTTACTTACACTCATATATGGAGTACTGCATACAGTGTAAGGTGGGACCTGAGGAGAGTGCAATGAGCAGAACTTCCAGCTTCCTCACTTTTCCTGGATGACGCTCAGAAAGCTACAGTTTAGTGAGTCTCTTCCCTTCCTTGTTAGTCAGGACGTCTTCAGAATTTTAAAATATCTTCCAAGCTCTTTTCATAAAGAGAGATTATGCCTTGGACTCTGCACCCAAACAAGGGAGTAAGAACTCCCCTTACACTCCTACATGGTCTGCTCAGACCTTGTGTCTGGGCGCATAGGAGTGAGCTGCATGCCTGCTTACTCCCCACCCATGGAGAAGGTGCACAGGAAGCAGGCGAAATTAGCTAGCCAGCACTGCTGAGCTGACCTGGTGATATTGGCTAGTGGCAAACTACTGCCCCGTGGAGTGCAAGGAGAAACATGGGGCATAGCTGTAATTCAGGTGTCTCCAAGTCACAAAGCCTACTGATGCAATGTAGACACCACCCTTTACTTAGAACTGTGCCTAAAAGCCACAAATCTAGCCTTTACATAGTAAATGCTTGGGGTCAGGGACAGACTGCAGTGTTATCTAGTGTCTGGCACAACAGCCTGGCCTTTGGGTGTAACTCTGAACATAAATATTAACTAATCATAGAAGAGAATAGTAGACGATTGCTAGAGAAAGATATGATGATGCCTTGCAGAGCTTGCGAGCATCCCTTGAAAATACAGTTGGTGGACCACATCGAACCAAATAGATCTTTTAGTGTGTGTCCGCAAGTTATTTACATTGTGTTGATCTGATTGTCTTATTTATCATTCAATATTTGTCTGTGGTTGGTATGAAATGCAGGGGGCATCTGCCACTGCTTTTCAAGTGTTTTTCACATCCCCAGATGAATTCAGTCTTTTTTAAAGCACTTTATATTTTTCTTTCTTACAAATTATCATGTTATTGAGAATACGGGCAGCAACATTATCATCTACCTATAAGGCAGAGCAGAAAATGCTTTTGGACACTGGGATCCCAGCTCTGCTCTCAGTTATATGAGTGCCACTAATTTGGCATCTGTAGAGTCTTTCTGATGTAACAAACAGAATTTGGCCCTGGCAATTAACGTAACTTGAAACAAGAAAATAAATCTATAGTGTTTAGTCCTTTCAAGATCAGATTATTTTTACTGTGGCTGAGGCAGATGCTAAAGTAGATGACAGATGAAAGTCTGCTCCCCTTACTCCATATTTACGCAATATAGCGTGTGTGTGTGTGTGTGTGTGAGAGAGAGAGAGAGAGAGACACCGTACTTCTATCATGCTCATGACTATTGTATTTGTGATATTTTTTAGATATCATTAAACTGCAGCTGGTTGAAGCGGGCCTGGTTGAGTGTCTACTTGAGATTGTCCAGAAGACTGTAGACAGTGACAAAGAGGATGACATAGCTGAGCTTAAAACAGCCTCTGATCTTATGGTTTTACTACTACTCGGAGGTGAGTACAGTATCTTTGTATATTTTGCAAAGCAGAAGAGGGTACCTATGTCACATTTTACCATTTAATTTTACTTTTAATCTATAAAACACATTTTAAAAATTATTTTAAGGACTTGCTAGCTAGTTATTCAGTGGGCTAGATTTTGCACTCTTACACCACTGTAAATCTAGAGTAATTCTAGTGAAGTCAGTAGAGTTACACAGATATAACAGAGGGAAGAATTTGAACTAACATTTCTTTTGCGTGTTGATTTTCTACACTTTTTGCCTCAAGATGAATCCATGCAAAAGTTATTTGAAGGAGGAAAAGGCAGCGTCTTCCAAAGGGTGCTTTCATGGATTCCTTCCAATAACCATCAGCTACAGCTTGCAGGAGCACTGGCTATTGCAAATTTTGCAAGAAATGGTAAGAATATGCTATCACAGCTTACGTTTGCCTTTTTGTACCCTTTCAATGTGCTGTTTCTACATAGCTATGAATCAAGCCTGTATTGTGGTGGGATTTTTTAATTTGGTTTAGGATAGCATCGGTAGTTTTGAACACCTTTGCAGGATTTCTGAAAGATGTTAACCCTGCTTTTAGAATTCTGTTTTTTCAACATTGAAGATTCAGACACATTACTAAAGAATCATTATCACTTTTTTAGGAATTTTTCAACTCTAGTAAATCCTACCTCAATCAGCACTTTTCAAATATATATTTGTATTATGCTATTGGAGTTTTCAATTTTTACCTTCTTCTCTATTTCCCATTCCTTTATTGTAAATGCGTAATTGTTCCTGTAATTGAAGTTGCTACACTTTACCTGAACTGTAAAATTTGGAAGAGGGGGAAATTACACTTTCGTAGTGAGAAGCTCTTGTACGCATTTAAGATTGATTGTGAGCATACAAGTGACTCATCTTACCTTGTGCAGATGGAAACTGCATCCATATGGTGGATAATGGGATAGTTCAAAAGCTGATGGATCTACTAGACAGACATGTGGAAGATGGAAATGTAACTGTGCAGCATGCAGCATTGAGTGCACTCAGAAACCTGGCTATTCCTGGTAAGGCTTACGTCGCACTGCTAATCTCTCAGGGTGAATTCTGGCTCCCACTGCAAAGCCCAGGGGAAACAATGTGCGGGATGGCATTGTCCCCAGCCAACCTGGAGGCAGGCTAGGGAGCATCTGTGCAGCTAGGCCACAGCCACTTCTTCATCTTTTGGGAGGGTTCGGTGGCCAGGTCACAGACCCACTGCCTATGTTTCTGCCACTGTTGTCCCGCAATACATCCACCCTGCGCTCCCACGGAGAGAGCTGCTGTGCTGCCTGGCTCTGCAATATGCAGGAGGAGGCTGTGGAGACCTCAATGTCACTTCCCGTTGCTCTGCAACTGTTCTGCATCATTTTGAGCTCTCTCTGGCTTATGGGGGATCCTACCTAGGATTTCCATCGTAGCAGAGAGAGCTGTTCACTTCTCTGATATACCATATCTTGCTGTAATTTCTCAGAGCTTGCGTTAGAGAAGGCCTATCAGGACATTTGATCCATTAGGATTAGTTAACGTTTGTAATAGTCTTTGAAGGTGGTGGGCCAGCCAAGTCCTAAATACTGTCATTTTTAATCATTTGTATCAATTTTTGATCGCCTGAACATAAAAATTCACATAAAAGCCAAAGGAAATATATAATGAGTATATATAAAACCTATACTTTCCAATGACCTGAGCCAAAAATCATTCTCTTTGATCAGTTTACTCTTTTTACTGCATACATTTAATTTTGAAAAATATTAACTTCCTGAGACTGAACATTAATACCTACTAAATTCGCATACCTTTAAAAATGCTAGAGAGCCATCTCCTGCTCACCTTATCCAGTCGAGTCGTCCCACTGACTTCAGTGGGCCAGCCTCCCATGAATATGTGCAGGATTGGTCTCAAACCAATATGTAGAACCTTGGGAACCAAGGAATATCTGCCACAGCAGGGTACTTCCTGTTAAGTATTATTTAGAATATGAACTAACGTATCACTTTCATTAAGCATAGTATGGGGCAAACCCTGCCCCCTCCTCACCACTTGTGGAGAGCCTCATGGAGGTGGAATCAGTGTAGTCTCACCACATGGGATGAGACAGGATTTAGGAGGCTGCGTAAGGAATGCTCACTCCCTGCAGGATATCCCACACTGCTGTTTGCACAGTGTACTGCGGCAGGGCAAGAGATTCCCCCCACTAACCTGATCCTTCAGTACACAGCGTCTATTCCAAACCTTTAGGGTGGAATTGTCTCTCCAGAAGGTCTCTAACTCCTGCTCTCATAGTTATTGTCCATGGAGAGGACTCTGGCATTCAGCTGAGATAGTCAGGCTGAGCACTGAAATTAGATTTATGCATAAGAACAAAACATTCAAATTCACATTGTGTCCAGGTAACCATATAATAATGTATATAAAGTGTGTGTGTGCGTGCGTGTGTGCTCACAATGTACACATTAGTATGCTATTTTTTGGTGTGCATAGAAAAGCTGCTCCTGGACTGTCTTGGAAATGACAGTCTCCAACTTTAAATGTATCATCAAAAATGATTTGTGAGATAATTTCTGTTCTTTATTTGTGTAGTTGTAAATAAGGCTAAGATGCTATCAGCTGGCGTTGCAGAAGCAGTACTTAAATTTCTCAGATCGGAGATGCCCCCGGTTCAATTCAAGCTGTTGGGAACGTTAAGAATGTTAATAGATGCACAAGGTAAAAATAAGCAGTTCTTCATGTTCTATGATTCTCTCTCTGGTATAATCTGTTAAGGCTCTTCTAGAAGAAAAATAGTTCTTTTTTTACTTAAGTGTTAGCACAATGAGAGAAACTTGATGGTAACACCCATTGTTTCATGTTCTCTATGTATATAAATCTCCCCACTGTATTTTCCACTGAATGCATCTGATGAAGTGAGCTGTAGCTCACGAAAGCTTATGCTCAAATAAATTTGTTAGTCTCTAAGGTGCCACAAGTCCTCCTTTTCTTTTTATGAGCTGATTTAAAAATTCTGGATTGACTACCATGGACAATCGGAACACGTTTCAGACACTTACTTACTTTTCTACTTCAGCATTCTTCTAAACTGGCACATTATGAATATATCTAACTGCAGGTGTTTTGACCTCATGTTGTGCTACTCAGTTCCCACTTTTCTGTACCTTCTCTGTATCTAGCACTCTTAAATGGGCTGATCCATTTAATAACTGATAAATTGCCATTTCAAACTGGATAAATGTCATGTAATTTGCAGCTATCACGTAGTGGCTAGAACTATCAAATAAAGTGGCAAACCACAGAAGGCTATAAAGAGTCTCTGTGACTCCTTGGTGTTTTCTTTAAATTCCAAGCATCTTTTTAAATTGCTATATCAAATAGCTTCCACCAACCCTCCGCCACAGTTTCTGAATACTAGCCCTTGTAAAATTCACAAGGGTTTGTAAGTACAGTAGATGTCTGGTTTCCATTGTTGAATATTTACATCCTTTTACCCAATAGCAATGGATGATATAGTGGTATATTTATGAGTATACCACAGCAAATCTGTAACTAAAGTATAGGACAGCCTTACTAAACTGTACAATGGTAAACTACAATTCTGCCCTGAGTGTGGACTTGCTGATTTGCTCCTCGCTGCAGCACAGATTGGCAAGCTCTGGAAATCAGGTCATTAAGAGGGACATCAAACTACTTTGTGAGTCAATATGAGGGACATCAAACTACTTTGTGACAGTGCTACATCACCTCTGCACCCAACCGTGGTACTCAGCACCATCCTGAGACAGGACAAAGGCACATAATGTGCTTCCCCATCTCTCTTCTAGCTGGCTCCTGCTCCCACTGATGCTGTTGGGGGACCAGGTTGTCCACTGTTCCCCAGGCCTTGTTAAAGGCTGCCATCTAGTTTCTTCACTGCTGCAGAGATGAACAGAACATGGAAGCCATTAGACCAATGCCACCTTCCCTTCAGAGGCAGCCCCACTTCCTCTGTACTTGTGTGTCCTGAGAACAGCCATCGAGGTGACAGCAGTGAAGGTAAAGATGGCTATCATGTTCTGTGCTGAGGGGAGATAGGACAGCTGCCAGTTCTGTTGCTCCTTTTTTTCCTTCCAGTGAAGGAGGGGCACGGCCCTATCATCTTCAGAACAGAGCCAGTGGTACCCACCTTTATTTTCACTTGTTCCCCTCAAAGGAGTGATGCAGCACTCTACATACTGAGAATATCAAATAGGAGAGGAGAGGCTATATTATCTTTGTATTTGGCATTTGTTTCAACACTACTGGAATACTGTGTCCAGTTCTAGTGTCCATGTTTCAAGAAGAATGTTGAAAAATTGGAGTGGGTGCAGAGAAGAGCCACAAGAATGATTAAGGGATGGGAAAACATGCCTTAGAGAGAGAGATTCAAGGAGCTCAATCTATTTAACTTGGCAGTGAAAAGGTTAAAGGGTGACTTGATCACAGTCTGTAAGTGGAACAGAAATCTGGTGACAGAGGATTCTTCATTCCCGTAGACAACAAGATCTAATGACTGGAATTTGAAGCTATGCAACTTCAGACTGGAAATAAAGGTGCATATTTTTAACAGTGAGGGAAGTTAGCTATTGGAAAACTTACCGATGATTGTGGTGTATTCGCCGTCACTGGAAATTTTTAAATCAAGAGTGGATGTTTTTCTCAAGAGATCTGCTCTAGTTCAGTCACAGCTATTGGATTTGAAGAAAGAATTAATTCAGGAAGGTCCTAGCACCTGTTTAATGCAGGAGGTCAGCTAAATGATCACAATGGTCCTTCTGGCCTTAAAAATCCATAGATCTATGAATTGGCTTACTGGGAATGTGTCACCTTTTTTGTCTCTAGTATTCAATAATCCATAAACTGCAATGGTCAAAATATTTTAAATTTTAAAGTTTCATCCGGGAAAAAAGAAAAAAAAATGTACCAGGAAAATATGTTGTGAAATTTTTTATGCAATTCACTCCCATCCCGATTTTTTACTAGTTTTACTCACTGATGCAAACTGGGACTTTCCCTCTATTAGCACAGAGTAACAAGATTCTTATTTACAATTTTTCTTCCTCTTAGAAACTTTCATGCATATATTTCTGACACATGCTGAAAAATGACAACCTTGTTTTATTTTGGCTTGTATCATATGTAGCAGAAGCTGCTGAACAGCTGGGAAAGAATGTGAAATTGGTTGAACGATTGGTGGAATGGTGTGAAGCCAAGGATCATGCAGGTGTGATGGGGGAGTCAAACAGACTGCTTTCTGCACTTATACGACATAGCAAATCAAAAGTAAGTTACTGGTGAAAAAATTCAGTTCATGTGGAGAGTCTTTAAAAGAAAGTCATGCCATGCTCTATTTTCAGTTTAGAACACAGGCCTTGACCCCCTGCAGTGAGATCTGCGTGAATGGAATCTCTGCCTATGGTGAGCCCCCGTTACATCAAGGAGAGTCCAACCAAGCAAATTAGCTTGCAGAATTATGGCCATATTTTGTAATGGGACTGGATGTCTCAGAAGATTGACAAATGGAGATTGACAGCCTCCGGGTCATCTATATGAATCCCATTCGGACCCATGTTGATTTAAAAGTCCCCTTCTGATGAGTGTTTGAAATAAGCCAGTGGCTTGTCTCCAGTTTCTATTGGACAGGCATTAAGCAGCTTTGTTGATATTCTCAGAAGAAAGGCCAAAGATTGATTGGACATGGAGACTTACCTGTCATCTCCTAGAAATGATCCATCTAGTTAGGATTGAGCCATGTTGGTGGGAAAGAGTGACAAGGAAATTGTATGACTAATTCCTGTGCTGTACCTCTAGCGTGTAAGAATACGGGACTTCTGGCTCCAGGGAGCCTGTCAATCAGACATTAGCACCAAGTTGAATATAAATGCCAATTATTTGATTAAAAAACTATTTGTTTCATAAATAGGAAGCCTGTTAAAGGGACACTGTCTAGGTTAGTAGGCCCAAATTTTGACCTACATATATTTATACTGTAACTTATAAATGCCAGTGGGGTAAATTTTGCTCTGAATTACACTAGTGTAAATCCATTCATGATCAATGACTTTACTCCAGATTTGCACCTGCATAAAAGGGATAAGAGAATCTTGGCCCGTTTTTTATAAAAAGTGTTTCAGTGCTATTCTTTCAGTTTCAAGCTTTCAATGAGTTGTTCAGTTACAAACATTTTCTTACAAATGTATAGTATACTGTATACTGTGTATACTGTATAAAGATAATACTAGCTGTCTGTCAGTGCACTTCTAGTCACTCCTCACCATGTTAGCTACACTATACAGAGTTTATACAAAATACATGAAAGACCAGAACCTGCAGTCCTTGCTTAGCTGTGTAGTCATATTGGACCAAAGAAAGCTCTGGGATTAGCAGGTGTGACCCCCTGTTGCCAGGGACGGCTCCAGGCACCAGCGAAGGAAGCAGGTGCCCAGGGCGGCCAATAGAAAGGGGCGGCACGTCCTTCATTCCCTCTCTTCCTCTTCGGCAGCAGCTCAATTGGATTTTTCTTCTTTTTTTCTTCCCCTCCACCGCTTGGGGTGGCAAAAAAGCTGGAGCCGGCCCTGCCTGTTGCAACCACTGAGAATCATTCCTTCTTTTGCCAGGCCTATATTTTACCCATTGATTCAATGTGGTTCCTTGTATAAGTATGCACTGCAGGATCAAGCCTGATATTGGGAAATGCTATTTGAGAAATATGTTCACAAGTTAAGAATGACCTGATTCACGAATGGCACTGCAAAGCAGAAACAGATGCGTGCTGTGGGCCTGATCCTGCATGATGCTGAGATTACTCAGCTCCCATTTAAGTCAGTGGGATCTGTGGGTAGTTATCCCTTTACATGGTCAGTTCTTATGCAAGGGGTATTCTCATATTTCTCCTGCCCATCATATGGTTTGTATTCAGCCTCTACAAGTAGTCAGTATTAATTTTTTCCCAGAATTCTGAATACCTTTTTTTCTCACAGTCAGTCACGTGCATTTGGTGAATTCTGCTGCTATTTTAAGAAACCATGGGAGCAGAGATGTGAGTTTTTACCAGTCTGGGTCAGAGTGACTGCATTCAAAAATGTAAAGCAAAGATACTAACACTGGCATGGAACAGCTAATGTTTGTATTAAACACAGAATTTAGCAAAAATCACTCAGTGCAGAAGAATCTCTGAGCTTTTAGAGGCTCAAAGACTGCCCTTCAACACAGTGGAAAAATGAGTTCACTCTCTTTTAATTTTATACTTGCACTGCCCTCTAGGTTTGGATGTTGGCATAGCTGCATGGCTCTTTACTGTACTTTCACTAATATTTTAAATTCATGCACCTACAAAAGATAAGGTGACATTTTCAAAAGTGCCTCAGTGATTTAGATGTTTAGGCCACACTGACTTTCAAAGAGACTTAGGCCCCTAACTATCTGAGTTACTTTTGAAAATGGGACTTGGGCTCCAAGCTACTTAGGCCCTTCTGTAGAAAATTATAGCGAGAGGTTCTTTGTTTCAATTCCCAGTGACTGCAGCAGAAGCTGAAGGCACTCAGAGCTTTGCAGGAGGTCCTCAGCACTTAGTAGAGAGGAGTCTAATTAGAAGGGACTTGTTGCAAGTAAAAGAAAAATAAGTTTTTACATATGTATGTGCATTAGGTAATTCAACATTAAGTGAAGAGCTTTTTGGCTGTGAATTTCTTAGGCAGTAAGCTCAGAGCCTAACCTAGTCCCAAGTGTTTCCATTCAGTTGTTGTGTTAAGAAATGTGAAGCTTCAGCATGATTAGCTGAAGACATTTCGAGGTTCCAGGCTCATGCTTGCATTTTTTGTTTCCTTGCGCACAAAATCTGATTGCAATAATCTGTGCAAGTGCTGGAACATAAATCATTCTAAGCCCATGGCTCAGTTTGTGGTCTTTGGTTTGTCGCTGCAGGTAGAAAGGGGAGCACTGAAGGATATATTTTATTGCATGTCCTTGTCATTGCATTTCACTTTAATCATCTTACTCAAAGGACTGAAGTAACAAATCAAATTTTCATTTAAAAGGCAGGCCACCTTTTCAAACTTCGGTGCTTAAGATGCACCTGCGAGACACAAATGCATTTGCCTGTGCAAGTACCGTGCAGCACACACAGTTACCTGATTTTGGGGCATGTATTTTGCAGCTGCGACTTACACTCAGACGTGAGAATAACTGACACACAATGTAGTATCTCCTTTAAACAGCTTCTTTCCTCCCCTTACTCTCATTTGTAACAACATCGCAGAAGCTTGAAAATAAATTGATTGGTGTTAGCTCCAGGAGAAGCACTTAACAGTGTGAGGTTTGTAGGTCCTATGAAAAAGACTAGTTAAAAAAAATAACGAAAAATAAATAGATAAAGAACTCAGAGGCCTTCATCTATCATTTTATTACAAATACAAGTAAAATTTTGGACCTAAAAACATTGACAGAGTCCTTTAAATGTCTATGATAACTACTCCAAGAGCATTTAATCCAGTTAAGATTTTTGTTTCCTAGGTCTTGGGCAACAGGAAAAGTACTGTAATTCTGGTTTTAGAACAAAAAGTAATACATCGGTATTCTGTAACTTATGGTCTCATATTTATTACCAGTTTCGAGAGAACACTATTCACTTCCTGCCTACGTACTTTGTTTTTCACATTTTGCATTATTAAATAAATTGGAATACAGAACAACCTCCCTTCTCTAAAGGTCTTTGGGGTCATCCCCCAAGGACAAGAGGCATTTTGGATGATGGGGGATTGAAAACCAAGATTACAAAAGAGTCGTTCTGGGTCTCCATACCCAGAGCATAGCAAAGGGATGCTGGGTTTCAACACTACAGGATAATGAGAAGAAAGCTAGTTGTCTTTGCAGATTGGCTGATTTTAAATGGGGCTCAGGGTTAGCTGGAGGGCAGTCCCTTTTAGAGCAAATTGGTCTGCAAAACACAACAGCAATGTCATCCAGTATAACCTGGAAGAGGGGTGGGGAACAGACTTAACCCAATATTGCTTAATTCTAACTTTTGGTTAACCCAACAATTACATATTATAACACACATCTGGTTAAATTATGTATAAATACATATACCAGTGGCTCTCAACCTTTCCAGACTACTGTACCCCTTTCAGGAGTCGGATTTGTCTTGCATACCCCCAAGTTTCACCTCACTTAAAAACAACTTGCTTACAAAATCAGGCATAAAAATACAAAAGTGGCACAGGACAGTATTACTGAAAAATTGCTCACTTTCTCATTTTAACCATATAAAATAAATCAACTGGAATATAAATATTTCAGTGTGTAGTATATAGAGCAGTATAAGCAAGTCGTCTGTATGAAATTTTAGTTTGTACTGACTTCACTAGTGCTTTTTATGTAGCCTGTTTTAAAACTAGGTAAATATCTAGATGAGTTGATGTACCCCTTGGAAGACCTCTGTGTACCCCTCGTTGAGAATCACTGGCCTATACACACACACGTGTGTGTGTGTGTATTACGTAACTGTACTTACAGCATACATCACAGCTAAATTATTCAATTCTGTTAATGTGTAATGCAAACTTTTTTTCAGTCCTGTTATTTTTATTTATTTTAGGATGTAATTAGGACCATTGTTCAGAGCGGTGGCATCAAGCATTTAGCTACCATGGCAACTAGTGAACACGTAATAATGCAAAACGAAGCTCTTGTCGCTTTGGCACTAATAGCAGCGTTAGAATTAGGTGAGTATCCTGATGGTTAGCTCTTCTTATTTTCCCTTTAGTCTGTGCTCAAGAGAGGCTCAGGGCTGGAAAATCCAAGCAGAAGTGAGTTTCTTGGGTAGAGTTATATGGGATCCTGCAGAAATTTACCAGTTTGACACGATATTTGCTGTCATGAGCATGGGAATCTATGTTAACATATCCACATACAGGCAAAAACGGGGTTGCACAGATCAAGTTTGCCTTGCAGAATCTATATTACAGGAGGTGATGTGTGAACAAGAAAGGCCCAAGAATGACTTTCAGATCCTAGATAGAGTTAGCAATGACTTAATAGTTATAATGTAAAAAGATGATTTTTCTAACAATGCTGTGGAGACTCAGAGATGATAAGCATGGAACCCCAGGATGTCATATTTATAATTACATTTCAGACTGGAGACACTATCAACTATGTGATTTAAAAAAATTGTTCTAGCCTAGTCAGGAGGCTAATTAAGAAAAAGGTTTTTAATAGGACCTGGTTCTGGCTACACTTGAATGTAGACATCCTAAACCAGTTTAGTGAGATCTGCTAAGATAAGACATCGACTAGCTGCTGATGCAGTCATGGGGAAGCTAGTAAAATGGTGGGTACTGCTCAGATAATGGCTGTTACTGGTTTTGTTAAATTTCTCAGCTATAAAAATCATGTATTTTTAAATTCCATGTCCTGTGTTGCTAACACCTTAAAGTTTGCTAAAGTTGAAAGAATTTTAAAAAATGGATTTTCCCTTCCACCATTTATCCTGCTTACTTGCTCTTTGTACTTCCCTCATCTTGGACAATAGAATTAGATGATTCAACATTACTTACTTTTGCGATCAGTTTAATTTCTTGTTCTCATGTACTAGCAGAATGCTGTTGTGTTCTCCTTCCAAAACCACCGCAAAGAAGCATTAGATATAAAAATAAATTTATCACATTGAAAGAGAAAATATTTTTATTCATTTTGGTCTTTTACTCCCTTCCCATTTGTCTTTAAACAATTACATTTTGGGCCTAACCTAAGTTGACGGTGTCCCAATAAAACTTCGCCCAAATCATATACTCCTTAGTCAAGGCCTGATCCTACTAAGTATTGAGCACTCTCCAAAGGTGCTGAGCGCCCTCCGTTCCTTTTGATTTCAAAGATCACACCCTCAGTTTTTATTCCCTTTTAAGTCTGGAAAGCATTTAGTCAATGTGAGTTTTGACTGAGGAAGGCTAACAGGAGTTGGCTTCTCAGTATTTAGAATGCAGAGTGGATTTGCCATCAGGATTTTAGTTAAAATATGAAACTATTTCACAAGGACTTAACATTGTAACATTAATATATATATATAAAAAAATGAAACATATATCAGGCAACTCTTAAAGACTTCACAGCACCACTTTTACAGTGCAGGAGAAAAATATTTCAGTACATGGCCAAACACTGTGCATCAAAAATGACTGATGATATTCTTGGATTTACAACTTTCACTTATTTGTATTGCAGTCACTGCTGAGAAGGATCTCGAAAATGCTAAACTAGTCCAGATTCTACACAGACTGCTCTCAGATGAGAGGAGTGCTCCAGAAATCAAATACAACTCCATGGTGTTGATCTGTGCTCTTATGGGATCTGGTGAGTATTTACAAGGTGCTGTTTTATTCTGCTCCTTGCTCCCCCCCCCCCCCCTTTAAAAACTAAACTTATTTTTCAGCTTGGACGTTGGGCCTCTACTAGATACACTGGGCCTAATTCTCCACTCACACTGGTTGTACATGGACATAACTCCACTGACTATGGTGAAGTCCCTCCTAATTTATAGTGTTGAGAGAGAAGGAAATCAGCTCTACCATGTGTACAGAAGGCTGTATAACAACTCAGTGCTGGATAATATTAGAGTATTTGCATCAGGGGTTTGCATCAGTTTAGCTAAATTGATTTAAATGGGTGCAACTTGTGTGTGTAAACAAGGCATCAGTCTTTTTACTGTAGTGGTTACTGATGATGACTGCTATATTACTGCAAGGTTCCAGGGGTGGTGGGTGATCTTTAGAGCAATATGCACAAGGCAGGATATAGAGGGACTTCGTAAAGTGCAGAATTTAGAGTCAGTGAAGGGAGACCCACGTATCACGAGCGTTAGTGCTGAAATTCACACTAGTGTGTTGCATTCCCAACATTTTTAATCCCTTTGGCATTAGTGGTTCTCTGAGTCCCTCTCCATATGAATGTCTTGGGAGCAATTCTCAGGAGCTTCTTCTACCTGTCTGTTGAGCTTCCACTTGCCCCTTTTGTATCTGTGCATTCCTTAAGCTACCTGATTCATGGAGCATGCCCCAGAGTTTTTGCTGCATTTTTCATTCCCATGATTCTTATCACCAGGAAGAGGTGACTGTTTCTGCAGCTCTCGCCTGCTCTAAAATAAGGAAACGTGATGTTTTAGTCTTAACTAATACTTAAAGGGATGCCCCACTTTGGGACTTCAAGCCTGCTATTAATTGCAAATGTATCTTCTTCCCCACCCTACCAAGTCCTTCCCTTTTATGTCACCAATCCCTATATAGATAGGATATTTATGCTTGTAAGTTTTGATGTTTTCTCTGCCAGTGAGTGAAGAGGTTCTTGAAGTTATTTTAAAATAATAGCTGCAGAGATTTTCTGCGTGGCTAAGAACTCTGTAGCTTCTAAGACCTTTGGTTTTATAGGGTATGTCTACACTGCACCTGCATGCAGGAGTGCCCTCCAGCACGGGTAGACAGACAGAGGTGCTAGCTCTGCTCAACCTAGTGTGCTAAAAATAGCAGCATGGATTTTATGGCATGGGTAGCACTCGGGCTGGCCACCCAAGTAGAGACCATGGGGATAAGGTGGCTGGCCTGTGTAACCACCCATGCCTCAGCATCACACGGCTGTTCTTAGGGTGCTTTCGCTTGAGCAGAGCTAGCAGCATGTCTGCCGCCCCAGGCTGGGAAGCGCACTCCTAGCTGCAGTGACCACGTAATGGAGTGACACTCTAAATGGTTTTGCTGACGGACACTGTTGTGACTCTCCTTTGTTACAGTGATGTGATATAATATTACATTTCACGTCTTTGTGCTGGCAGTTGCATATTGCCAGTTAAATATATATTTCTTGCCAGCTGGGAACTGGTGGTGCAATGGAGTCAGTGTGTTAAAAGAGAAGAGAATGATGACAATGGGAAATGTAAACAGTGTAACTTAAAGGATCAGAAAAAAACCCAGGGCATTCAAACCTAACACAGTCACTGTGTATGAAGGTCCTGAAGCGCCTAGGAGTCTGGCTAAACAGCGCTTTTCTGCCATTGTAACTCAGTAAGCTCCTGGAAGTTGATTTGGTAACACCTGCTTAAACATGGTGTTATCCTGGAAGTAGAAGGATAGGAAATACTTACACAGTAGAATAACTCCAGAACTGAAAACAGCTTAATTGAAATTGTTCACAGTGTACAAAAGTTGTCAGATGCATGGCCCTGGCTCTGGCTCTGCTGTCACACAGTAGGGGGGTAAAACGTGCAAGATAATTGGAAGCAGGTGAACAGGAAACAAATGTCACAGAAAATTTGCTACAAGGAAAAGGAGCACATAACCTTTGTGCGAAAAGTAGCTAATTCGAAACAGAGGTTCATATTTCTCATGAGCAGCCCAGGTCTCGGTTTAATTGGCAGCACCTGGCGAAGGAGAAATATATTTGGATCTTGTTGCTGATTGAGTCTACTAGAATTTCCTACCCTGCATATAAATAAAGCCTGAAGCACGTTTTTTAAAAAATACAGTGCCTACAATTGTTTCAACAGAACTCCTGATGTACTTGCGTTACTTTTTTCCCCCACCCTAAATTATGTATACAATAATGTACAAAGCAATCCATGCTAATTTCTTAAAGCAGAAGAAAACAAATGCTCACCATTTTAGAGGGACCAGGCCATGCATCAGTCAAAATGAACACACTTGTAAGTAGATTAACAATAACCAAGTGATGCAATGTCAGGTAGACAACTACCCTACACACTCACCCCTAACCATACAACCTCTTAGGCAAGAGCTGTTTTTCAACAGATGAGCCCTGGCTTTGTAAGACCAGTTTAGGGAATGAGTTCTAAAGGTGAGGTTCTGGCTATACAGTCTTCTACTAGTAACCATATTGAAAGGCATTGGGGGGTGGAATTTCATAAAGGCTGAGCATCCCACCACTCCAGCTGACGTCAGTGGGAATTGTGGATTCTCAACACATTACAAAATTAGGCCCTAGAGTTGCCATCACTCCACTCAAAAGTGGTGCTGTCTGTGTGTGTGTCACTTCTGGGTGATTGCTAAAATAGGCACTCTTACCTCTCTGCCACCCACCCAGGCTTTTCTGTGCTCTGCGACATGAGTGTCCCTCCTTTTTATGGGTGGGCACCATTAACTCTATCACCTCAATTAGTGTCAAGTACAAGAGTAGAACATAAGGAAAGTGTGTCTCATTAGCAGCCCCCAGAAAATTGACATATGTGCATAGACACATGGTCTGAGATAGCAGCGTGTGAACCCTTCGTGCTTCTGTCTTCCAGAACCCCTTCACAAGGAAGTGCAGAACCTGGCATTTCTGGAAGTCGTATCAAAACTCCGCAGCCATGAGAACAACACTGTCGCCCAGCAGGCCTCACTCACAGAGCAGAGACTCGCAGTAGAAAGCTGAGGAAGGTCTCCCGTTTCCATACAGCATCCCATCATGGATTTCACCTTTGTCCTCTGGCCTGCTGCTGCTCCTGCTGTGTTTTCCACTGTATCACTTGTGCACGCATGTCATGTTCCCACACACAGTGATGAACTGCTGTAGGTATCTGTCCAATAAGGGTTCTAAAATCCATAGGCGGTGTTAACATAAATCTGTCAGAAACAAGTCTCCACCCATAAATGTTCTATGTGTATTCTTGTTGCTTGGGCCACGCCGTAGAATGTGCATGTTGTAGTCCGATGATGATGTAAAAGTGGTACTACATGATGACTCTTTCCTCACACCCCTAACTGCCTAATGACATACTGCTAAATTAGGGACAATACAGGAAGCAGCAAGTCCAACCTAGAGTATTGATTATAGGATTAAATAGTAAATCTAGCTCCATTTTTGGTGCTTTGGAAACACAGGTATGAATGGAATGTATCGCTGCTCATTCACTGGTCTTGCCTAGTAATGTCAAACCCATGGTACCTAGAGGTAACAAATAAAAAATCCAGTGCTCTCACCCGTAACCCTCTGTCTTGCCCTTTTTGTATTTAAATGCAGAATTAATGCATGATGAGAAGCCCTGTCTTCAGTTTAAAGAAGAAATACAAAGGAAACCACTGAACTCCATTTTCCGCCCCTTGTCATTAGTATGTACTCTGGAGGGGGTGTCGTGTGGTTTTGGGCTTTGGCCCTAGCATTTATGCCAAGGTACAATCCCTTGCTGCAGCCCAGCATCTCCCCCAATTCTGCTGTGCATGCGCCCTTCACCTCCTGTGTGCACTTCCAGAGGCAATTCAAGCCTTTTCTCCAGCTTCCCACCAGATCTTCTACCTCTGCAGCAGCTCTCAGTCACCGTTCTCTGCTCCCAGCCTGTCCATTGCCCTTTTTCATTTTCAGGTAGTTGCAAGTAGCTTTGTTTTCTCCTCCTGGACGGGGTATTCAGAAGCGCTGTGGCGGCTCCCTGCTGAGCCCCTCGGCCCTCTTTTAGGGGGATGGCAGAGCAGGGCTAAGCCCAAATAGTAATCCTTCTGCGAGACATTTTTAACAGGATCCACAGAAGGCAAATTATGCCATGCCTGTTCTCAACCAGCTGACCCTCGTGCTGCCAGGGCCTGGAGATTTTAATCCAACAGGCACTTTGGGACCCCTAGCCCCCAACGAGCTGTGACTCCACCACAGGAAAGCCCGACCAGGAATCAGAGCCAAACTGGGGGAGGCTCTAAGGATGAGGAGGACCTCAGTCAGCCAGCCTAGGGTGTATGTCCTGGGGCAATTCAAGACCATAAGGATAAGTCCCTAGCAGGGCACCTGGTCCTGGCCCAAAGCCCTGAAGTTGATTGTAAGTGCTCTGGGGAAAGAAGCAGGGCTCAGGATCAGCTCCCCTCCCACTCCCCCTTCCTTCCAGCTTGAGTTAGGAAACTCTGGCAGTGAGTCCCCATCCTCCACCCTGAGAGGAATGGGAGCCTATGGGAGAGGACTCCTGGAAATTTCTCCCTTGAAGGCTCCAGGTCCTGTACAAGACTAGCCACAAAAGGCCCTGCTCATGGCATAGCCGGGCAGCCAGGCTTGCAAAACATGCAAAAAAATCCAAACTGGAAAAAAAAGGCTAAGAAAAAGCCTTAAAGGTATCAGTCCTCCGACTCAAGACACCTCCTCCTCTGCTGAGGGAGGAGAGCTGTCAGACTCTGATTCTGAGAAGGACATGGACAAAACGTAACAAGGTTTGATTACCCTGAGGTCCAAGGGATGGATGCTGTGATTTCTTTCTCCGGGGCTCCAGATACCCTGTGCCATTCTGCGTTGCAGATGTATTCACCATTCCATCAAGATGGTGGTGATGAGAACCTGTGCATATGGAAAGACCCGTACAAACATCTTCCTGGGCTGTTCACCATTTCAGGGAGTTAAGGACCTGTTTCGGGACATGTCCTTGAAGTTGCATGCACACTGGGGAATGCTCTCATGCTTTCAGAAGAAAAGCCAGAAGGCACCTGATGTGTGATCCCACCTATGAGGTGACCCCTGCACACTAGACCAGGAGGCCCAGTAGCTGAAGGCACTGAGCAGTGGTTGGGCTCCTGTATTTGACCAATGTGGATACCAGATTCTGAATCTTCTGGAATCTGTCTCCTGATGGTCAGATCTCTGAGGAAGATGGCTGGAAGGAGGCGGAGCATCACTGTTTGGTAATGCTCTAAGTCAAGACTAGAAACCACTACCTGGAAAGCGGAGGGACTGTTTGGCCACATTTTTAGCCACTACCTTATCCAATGTCTCTCTGACTAGGAGAAATGTGAATTTAGAGGAGCACGTGTCTTGTTTGAAGTGTCTACTTCCCAGGGATAAAGGCCATGTGTCCCTGGGCCACTCAACTGGATGCCCTGGCCCTGACAGAAAACGGCATAGCATCATTTGAAGCATCTTCCACAAATGCTGTTGCAAGGGAGATTTTCTTAAGTATAGACTTACTTGGTTTGTTTTCTGCCCTCGGGGACTTCAAATTCCTCTAGCCCTGACACTGTCTCAAGCAAAACAACTGGCTGCCAGAGATGCTCTGAGAGGAGCCGGAGTCAAACTGATGATATAAGAACATATAAATTCTCATACAAAATCAGGTCAGTGATCCAGGTAGTCCAACTTCTGGTCTCAAACACTAGCAGCCAATACGAGATGCTTCAGTGGAAGATGCTAGAAACCCTGACGTGGGTACCTGTACAACAACATGCCCATTAAAAAGAAGGAGTTTCATCCCAATCCGTCAGTTATTGATTTTTTTGTGCTTCGGTAGCGCCCGGGAGCCATTGCGCTAGGTTCTGAACACACACAGACCACGCAGACAGGTCCTGCCCCAAAGAGCTCGCTCTCTAAGTAAGCAGTTAGCAAGTCACTTATGCCCAGGAGTATTTATATCCCTTAGGGCCTGGTGTAACCGTAGCTGTCATCATCCAGCTTACTGGGAGATGGTCTATAGCATTGATGATAATCATGTCAAAAAGGGAGAGCTTCCTGTACACAGAAATGGATGTCGGAGTGAACCCTCTGCTGTTTTGACTGGATTGAAGTTTATCACATTTCTGCATACCCCAGTACTTGTTGTTGCTATCGAATCATTTAGTCGAAGAGCCTCCGCTAATGAGGAAAACAATATTTCTTGCACAGATCTAAGGACTGTATCGTCTGAAATGCATTTGACTATCCATTTCGCTGAAGTCAAATGAGTTCAAACTGCTGGAGTGAAGTTTGATTTAGGAATAGCTGTACAGTCGATAGATAACACTGTAACCTGTACTGGTCGAGTTATTTTTATGCCTGTAGTGTCAGACATCTCACTGTTTACCGCCTACTGCAAACTAAGCTGAAAGAAGTTGGAGCTGCCATACTGTCTGCTCCTCCTAACCCTATCGAGCTACTGCATTTGACTTGTAACGGTCATACAGCGGTAGACTCGATTTACTGTCTCTCAAATCATCAGCCTCTCCAAAAACACATCTGCTAACATTTGAACAAAAAGTGTTTCATGTATCTTATCAGCCTGGCTTCGTACAAGATATTTCACTGGGAAAAACTCAGCCCCGTAAGTTTTTCCTGGTGGCAGATATTTAAGGTTAAAAAAAAGGGAACACTGGATTTTTTCGCAAATTAAATTTCTGTATAAAGCATTGCATTAAACCACAGACTCTACTGGATATAATTTGTTTAAATAAAAATAGAACCTCCTGGGGAGTTTCATTCAGACCATGAAGGCTGCAACATCCAGCAATATGGACACAGGAACTTCGAAATGCCATCCCAAAGACAATTAATAATCATGCAGAAAATGGATAATTATTAGCCACAGCCATCGACCAGAAACAGCATGTAAGCTTTTTAAATGTATAATTTAACAGTTATCAAAGGTGCTCAATCATGAAACAGTAAAGAATACACATAATACCAATAGCTCCATTAGTTAGGAATAAAGCAAGTTGTGCTGCGACCACACGTCCCTCAGATGTTAAAGACCGTATGTTTTTCTAAAAAGATACACTTCAATTGAACCACAAGTTGACGCAGGAATTGTTGGGTGAAGTTCTATGGCCTGTGTTATGCAGGAGGTCAGATTAGATGATTGTAATTGTCCCTTCTGGCCTTAAAAAGAAATCTATAAATCTGTGTTTGAATAGGTCCCATGATTAATAGAAAGGGCCCAATAAAACAGGTAAATCCTTCATGCAGCAACAGTGCTCTGAAATCAGTAGTTTATCTTCATGTCCATGTGCCTCATCACCTACCTGACACTATCAAGGCACCTTCCTGGTCCATACTGCTGCAAGTCTCTGGTCCATGATGAAAAGCTGGTCCCTGACTAACGGTGAAATGTCATCACACAAGGGCAAATGGCAGCAACCAATTGCACCTCCACTATCGATGACAGTCTGCTCTGAAAACAAGGAAATTTAAAATGTTTGTTTTAAAAAAAACCCTGCAATGGTTTACCTACATTTTGACAAAGTCAGGATGTCAGATGAACTTTCTTCCACCTCAACGTGTCCTGCACCAGAGGCCTCATCAGTATTAAGTTAGAAATAACAGCACCCATCAGAACTTAATTAGCCAAGTCTTGTCCTAGGTCTACGGCTTTAACTTACCTGGGTTTATTATAATATGTCTATAGTACTACAGATACATGATGATGCTTTACAGAGAACACACACACAGGGAAGCTTGTGGTCTCCTAGAAGAGAGTCTAATTTAGATGAAAGTTGCATCATGGGATGAAACCATGTTTTTTCTATTGAATAAAACTTAAAAGGGGCAAAGCACCCTCACCCAAATCTCTCACCAGAATCTTAGTACTATATATATTGAAATGGCCTCAACATTTGAATTTACCATTTTGCAAGCACAACTGTTTGTATGTGTGAAGACAACTGTGTACACAAATGGCATTTGACAGAGGATTGCTGAACAAATGGTGGACCACAGATGTGGAGGCTGGGTTAAAATATGGCCCTTGGGGTCCCAGCTTAGCAGTGAAATTGGCTGTAAACGACAATGCTCTGGCCTGTGTTTCAAAAATAGGCATTGTCATCTCTGAATTGGAAGAATTAAATACAAACACAAGTCACAGGAAGCAATGGGGTTTACTGGGTGTCCAAAGATTTTTAACACTCAAAGGTAAAGGAAATGAGACTAATATATATCCTTCATACATCCCCAATGGCTGGGGAACAATCTAAAGTAGGCTCAATATAAACATAGATTTCTACAACCTGAAGCGTCGGTCGCAGATATTCCAGGCAGAATAAACTTTCCTTGTATGCTCGTACTACAATCAGAAAAGGTCATTAATACCTCCATTGTAACTTGTCACCTGTACAAGCCAAAGGTTGTTGCAACATTACAGTCACTGTAACTTGGCATTACTCACCTTGATCCTCTGTTCAGGCAGAATTCATCCTCTTCAGGGAGTTTCAGAAATTGGATTTCTTGGTATTGCCATTTCTTGATGAACCTGGAAATAAACCTTCCCCCAGCCCTCACTGGCCGCACCTAAACTTCATACTTAACTAGTACTGTGTATGCCAGTGGTTTCAAAACTTTTTGCCAGCACAACCACATTTTACTGAATTATTTCCTCCCGGGACCCCAGAAATCATGGAGTGTGCCATTTTGAAGGACAAAATGGCATCCTCCCCATGGCCTGACCTTACATGCACCAGACCTGCAAGGTCACACTGCATGGAGGACACCATTTTGTAGAATAAAATGGCATCCACTGCACAGCATGACCACGCACAAACAGTATATGTGAGGTCATACTGCATAGAGGACACCCACTGGTCTACAAAATGGCATTCTTTGCACAGTGTAACCTCATACACATGGTTCGTGTGAGGTCAGGCTGTCCAGAGCAAAATGGAATTTGCCACATACTAGGGATGACCATGACCCCATCTGCTGATGGCGTGACCCCATTTGGGATCACGACCCACAGTTTGGGAATCACTGGTGTATGCACTACTGACAAAGACAGACACAAATGCTGCCAAGATGGACATAAGCATTTTTTCCGCTCTAATGGAAAACAGTTCAATTTATCTGCAAGTGATAACGACCAGGGCTATAATGGGAGAACACTAACAACTGCAGTTGTTTGAAATCCTCCCCCCCTCCTCGCCACCATGTTTTAAACTATTATACTCTTCAAAATTACTGGGATTACTTATACTCGGGATCAGTTGTGAAATTAATGCAGCGTTTGATTAGATCATAGATTTTAGGGATTTTGCACTGGACAGTATTTCACAAATCTGTACGTAAAATTTTTTTTTAATCTGAAATTTATATGGAAATATTCACAAGAAGAACAATGAAAACAATCAAGAATTTAGCACAGCTGTAAACTTAACTCATTTACATTTTAGCACGAAAACTAGCCATTCTGTATGGTTGTCCGTGAAGCATTAAAGACTTAATTGCTACCCTCAGAAAGGCCAGGGTATCCACCTGCCCTCTACCAAAATTGTCATGGTGAATCATTAGGTTCCCTCCATGCTCCGAACTACCGGATAAGTGACTTTTGAACACTAAAAGATCACTAAAATAATTAGGCTGAAGTTCCAACAGCTGTGCTAAATTGTGTCCTCTGGGATTTGAAGAGTAACAGATCATAGTTGGAAATAGGTAAAACAAGTAGACTCACGTCCTCAACACAGCTAAGTTATTTAGCTACCAGTTTCCTACCACAGTTCACATCAGAGTAGATGTGGGGGTTCCTGGTGTTTGAATGATCTTTGCTTACACCAGCCATTATTTCATTTAACAGCCTGTTCCGGCAGAATGAAAACGTAATCTTCTATGTACACTTTAGGATGAAATGTCCTAGTGATGACAGATAGGTTTGGGGGCTAAAAGTGTATTTGTACCTTTAGAGTGAAAGAAAAGTAAACATTCACCAGTACTTCACACAATTTTATTTATAAAATTGTAATTATCTAACAAATTGCATATAAAATGATTTACTTCAAGTAAATACAGAATACTGCACAACTATTAAAACTATTGTCCATCATTAATGTATTAAAACATTCCTAAAAATGCACCTATTAAAAAACACAAATAGCATGATCAAGACCACTTTCAATAGCTTAAAATGAATTACCAAGAAGTTGTGTTAACTTCCAAAGTATAGTCCAGTTACATCCTTTGAAATCACCACATTCTAATGCTAAAGATGACAAATATAAGCAATACATATGCACCTGAACTAGGCATTTCTTCCAGACTGAAGATGACCAGTTGGAAAACAGACAACTAAAGCTCAAGTCAAACTCTACCAGCATGCAGTTCTGTTATAGCAATACTTTCAATCAATAAGTGTAATTGGCTTTTACAATCAATTTTGCAACTCACAGATTTAAAAACAAAAAAGCAACACAAGAGAATACATTCAGATAAAAAGAAACATTACACAAAGGTAAATACAACGAATAACCTTCATTGTACCCTATGATGATTTGAGGAGAGAGATTCTCCATGAACTAGATTGGTGTTACATACCAGAGACAGGACTGAGTCACAAATTTTGGGTCCAGATCCCAATCTCCCCAAAGCTTGGGATGATCAGATCATGGTTTTGGTTCAGGCCCATCTCTACTATGCACACAGAATGCATATGGAGACACATGGATGGAGCTTGTTGCTGACATTCGTACTGCAAAACAAAAAAGACTAATGATGCTATACTGTTGATCACCAGGTTGGTGTATATTACAAGTCACAATGACTATTTTTACACTGCATATTATTAGAGATGTGAACTCTTTCTTTCTAAGCATTAAAAGTTGACAGCTAAATGGCTTTTAGGAAACAAAACTTACCAGCAGTGGCCTAGTTTAGACAACTTCAGCCTACTGGGTTAATGAGACTCAAATTAATATTTGCAATAATTTTGGCAGACAAAAAGGAGGATATGAGGGTTGGGAACCTGGATTGTGCCTTAAACAGACGAGGATCAATTCTCCTTTCAATGCAATATGAATTGGATGTGTCATTAGCATTACTCCAAAAAAGTATACGCCTAGCAAGGAGGGGGAACGGACCCCAACGTTTGCATTCAGAGGCTCTCTTATTTGTCTTTGGTAATTGGAACCAATTCTATCCAGGACATTTCTGAAGAAGTGAAAACGCAGGTTCATTTTAGGACCACGCCAAGTCAAGACCGAGCACCAAATTTAGTCCTGGCATGAGGGGTGTCAACTCCCCGTGAGTTCAGCCAGGGTTGAATTTCACCCCTAGATTTTACAGTCAATACCTTTTCAGATCCTAAGCAGGCAGCACAGAGAGAATGGAAAGCTGCTCCACCTTCACAACACACAGGACAGCTGTAGTTCTACATGGTAGACACTAGATGGCAGGCAATTAAAGCATTTCTGGCTCAAACCAATTGATATGTAAAGCTTAAGTGACCATTCTCTTTAATTTTGATCAGCAAACTCTCACATTGTATATCTGTCATGAGTATAAATACATATTTACGATGAATAGCAGCCATGTGCAAGAACCATTTCATTTGCATGCTACTATTTACACACCAGAACCTACCAAACCAGGTTCTGTCTCCTGATTCACTACAATTAGCATCTCTCGGAAAGGAAAGGAAGGTGAAGGTTTAGAGGACAGAGAACATGTAAGCAACAATCTCCACCACTTCAAACTCCAAGAGCCACAGTCGATATTATGGGTCTCAAACCAACAAGAGAAAAGTGCAGGCTGAAACACAGAAATTTGGTCATGTAAGACATCGCAAATTGTTATTTTTTAAAAGAGGGTGTTCAGCAACAAAAGGGTCTAAGAATCTGGGCAGAGTGATTAGAGGTTAGATCAGCCAGAGTGAGTGTGTGTATCTGAACTCTGGAATGGCTTTAGAACTCTGGACACAGCTGAAGCTTTCAGACCAGCTGTCAGCTAATGCCATAGCCACGCATATAACACCTCGCACATGCAAACATTTCACTCCGTAAGAGGCTACCAGAAAGCTGACTGGCGACGTATTCTGGAGCAGCTACTGCACTTTGTGGCTGGTTAAAATGGCCCTCAGACTTGCACCTAATACTACCACCTGAGGCATACTAGAAATTGCCCAGAAATATAATACCTACTGTATCTTATTGCTTTAACAAGACCCTGCTGGAAGTTAAGCCTATTTTGCCAGCATCCATGGTCTGTTTGTGACCCACCTGAAGTTTTAATGGAACTTTCCAGGAGAAATATGGTTTGCATTTGGTCAGTTCTGTGTCAAATAGATCAGGTGCCAAGGCCTCGCATGGTTTTCCAAACTGCCCTCCTAAATTCCACATGGAAGTGGGCACTCTTAGGCTATGTCTCCACTGAAAGCTGGGGGAGGGGGGATTCCCCGATCATGTAGACATGCTTGCACTAGCTATCATCCAGCTAGAAGGAGTAGAAATACCAGCATAGCTGCAGTAGCTGTCACCTGTGCTATTACAGCTATGCTGCTGTTTATAGTCGCACTAACTGGGTGATCGCACAAGCAGGGATATCACATTCACACCCCAATCTCAGAGTGTAGCTGTAGCCACTATTACACATTCCCTGCATACACATGTGGGCTTTGAACATGCAGCACAGGCAGCTGGTTCTGAACATTCAATGTGGCTTGACCACAAATGACTGCAAAAATGGGAAGGGAAAACACAACAACAAAACCATCTTAAACAGCAGGATTAGTATTCGCAGCAACAAAGGGTTGTAGAAAAATAAAGATTGTTCTTTAGTGGTTCTTAAAACAGCAGTCACTCGGGGACCTAGAGGAAGCTTTGTACATTTTCTGCATATGCACCTGAAAGTCACGAGAACAAAGTCTCCCCCTTTTGAAGAGCAATTCCCTTCCTATCAGCACAATACTCTGCTGCTGGCATTTCCCAGAACTGTGACTTTGCAATAGGAGAAGGAAACTACGAGAACCGGCAGGAGAAGACAAAAGTCAATTACAGTACGACTGTGGAAATTCAAGTAGAAGAATGGAAGTTGTCTTCAGAAGCCTATAGCAGCAGAAGCAGCAGCAGCATTAAAGATCAATGGCAACCAGGATTCTGTAATGTGGACTTTTAAAATCAAAGCGCTGGTTCGTAATCAATGCTCTCACTAGGGCGAGAGGGGTGTATTTCCTGAATGCTGCTTCTCTGATCTCTCCACACCGCACCATTCTACAAAACAAAGTGGTAGCATCTTTAGCTCAATAAACTTTCCATTCTGTTGCCATCAGGCAAAATATTGTGCTCCCTTGAGGGTAAATGAACAATAGCTCCCCAAGTTAAGAGGAGTGGCAAAGAAAAACGTAACACTCTGATGAGATTGAACCACCTTTATTAAGGATAATGTATTATAAACACTTTCAAAGTTTAAAAAAGTCCTTTGAAGTTGCCGTTGGTCTTTAACTGCACACGCCAAAGGGTGTGGATGCTGCCGGCTACAGGCCAGGTGGAGCTCACTGGAGATTGAGGTAACACCAAATAAAAGACAAGAGTGCAACTGCACTGCTCAGCTCTTCCAAGCCATTGAATAATGGTGCATATTGCCAGCCTTTGTGGGCAGAAATGCAGGTTGTCTCCACACAACCAGAATGCAGAAAAAGCGTGTGTAAGTGTATAGACACTCGTGTATTGCATCTCTCACAAGGGAGGTTAGTATACTGATTTGAAAGAAAATGGCATCCAAGTGTGTTCACTTTTTCTGCACTTAACTTATTCATCTTAGGGGACACATTGGGCCAGTCCTGAATGCTGCTAACGCACCTCCTGATAGATGCCCAGCACCTGCAACTACTTCTTGAGGGAAGCGAGAGATGAGGGCAGTCAGCCCCGGCACGATTGGGCCCACAGACACTATGCAGGGCCATAAAACAAGCTAAATGTATATGAAGTGCCCTGGCTACCCAAGTTATCATCAGGTGCACGATCACACCATTACTGAAATAAAAGCTGATGACAGACATCTAGCTGGAGTTTGATCTACCTTCCCTTCCAATACTTGTGCTATAGTCCAAACTCTATCGCTTCTTCCATTTCTTAAGGACCAAAAGTCTCACTGTTGGTCCCAATACACTCTTCTTAGTTAAAAATATCCTTTTATTCTATTGGTTCAAGAAAGCATTTTGTTGTATTCAGACAGAGTGAGGCAGGATGGGAAACACACACAGATAAGCAAATGAAAAAAATTGCTGACTCTCGGGAAGCATTTACTATAGCAAAGCTGTCCTCCTTTCCCCCTTCCAAGCCAAGGGGATAGGAACATTCCATAATCAAGTGCATCGACCAATAAATAAGTAAATTTGGATTAGAAGCCTACTGAAACACATGCAGGGATTTAAAAACAAAGTCTCTCCGATTCTAATTCCATAGCTCATGCAGGTCAGAATGAAAGAACGAACAAAAGAATGAAAATCAAAACTTCAGCTAGAAAAGGATCAAGGAACCACCTTAGAAGAAATTTTGTACAATTATAACAAAGCATTAATATTAGTGACAGCCCCAAATACATCAGGTTATGCCAAATTCCAAAGAATCAATGGATATAGCCAGGGTATTTGGGTACCTACTTCATGACTTTTTTTTTTTTTTTTAAGTTAACATATATTTCATTCTCTTTTTAACATTATACACCTGAGCCCCCCCCAAACCTCATGCTTGCTCGAAGAAAGATGCTGGAAAATTTAGATAATTATCCCTTCCATCTTGCTGATTCCAACCACAGATTGTTACAGACAGAAAGTCTGGAAGCGCTTGTATAAAAGTTTTTCCTAGTTTTTAAAACAATTTCTTGAAACGTACAATTGATGAGTGGAAAGTTGTTTCCTGTTTGATGGGTTTAGTTTCAGAAAGATCTGCAGCTATGTTTAGCTGTGAAAAACAAGAAGATGGTTCCTTCAGCATGTACTGAAGAAAGAAACCTTCTCAGGAACATTTGGCAGCTATCAAAGAGCTCATGACATGGAGAATAAACAGCATATCCACACACCACAATGCAACTCTGTCCCATTGACACACACCAATTAAAAAAAGAGAGTGTCCACCTGTTATTCAGAAGCAAGGATACAGTAGAGATTCATGGCTCAACAGCTTGTTGGTGATTTAAAAAAAAAAAAAATTATCAGTGAGCGCAGATTTTAAACAGCCCACCCATTAGCCAACCCCAAGAAGCGAGGGTTCACTGCAGTACCAGCAGCGTAGACTTGAGACCGCTTGGGAAAGAAGGCTTCCCTGTCACCCATGTCCATACAGCTTGGTGTCGGAGTGACACACTGGAGATTTTGGAGGTTTTCAGTTGTCCAGTGTCTTGTGGCGGTTATTTCAGCAGTTTTACCAGCTGGCTCTGACAGCCTCAATGTCACTAACCAAGTTCTGGGCTAAGCATATCCCGAATATCTGGAAAAAGACGACAGTTCATTTACTGGGTGTACTTGACAGTCCTTTGGGTACAGTTTCCCTGGGTGGTGTGGAACTTTGACAAAGCAACAGGAGAAAGAAATTTGAGAAATGCAATGGTAAAAACATTATAGAAGTTGGCAGAGGGGGCATAGGAGCAAATGTAAAAACTGAAACTCCTTTAAATTCATTTTTTGTCTGAAACTGACTGGCTTCCAAATCAACAGCGTGCCTTTAATCTGAAGTCAGAGACTAGTAGAATTTCTTCCCACTAGCAATTTAAAAAGTGATGTTTTTGGCAGCTTGTCTAGATAAGGTCAGAAATAAGACCACCCTACAATCTTTGAAATCCACCCCAAACCCACCCCCTCCGCCCTCACCTAAGATTGCCAATTTTCATTGGACATGCTCCTGGAGGTTTCATCACATGACAGTGTTTAATTAAAGATTAATCTTTAATTCCTGGAGATTCCAGGACAATCCTGGAGGGTTGGCAACTCTATGCCCACCCCAAATCTGATGAAGTGCAGAGTTGGGTTGAGGGCAGTCGGATGAACATCCCTCTATGGATAAACATAAAATATCCTTTAACACAATGAAGCCTCAGCTATTAACTCACCAGTTAGCTCTTATTGAAAACCACTAATTCAAGGTTATTAAACAATGAAACAGCCTCATTTCCAGTTCTCTTGTTGAGTGTTTCCCTGTTCTGCTTTTTTCCTCTGTAACTTCCTTATGAGGAATGTGTGCTTTACCTGCAACAACGCAATCCCAATGAAGATGCCAGCAACTATAGTAAGATTGTCCTGCAGCCATTTCTCAAATTGGGGGACGCATCCTTTAGTGTAGATAACAATCTGCTGGTCAACCTCCTGCAAAGAAGAGGGATGAAAACACACATAATTAGCTCAACCTTCACTTCCAATTCTGTAACTTGCTTCCCCAAAGTTACTCAGATCCTTACAAAATCAGGTATGATTTAAAAAAAAAAAAAAACCACTAAAAAAAACCCCCACTTACAGGTTTTTGCCTGGCATCGTAGCCACACTGAGTGTTAATGACATCCTCCTAAGGGAGAAAAAAAGAAAGACAGTGAGGAGAAGTGCTTCCAGTAATAATGGACTCCCACAACATTTTCTCCCCCTCAGCCTGTGATAAACCCCACATCCCGGACACAGACATTCTATGCAGAGGAAAGGAGGAACTGTGGAACGAGCCTTCTATTCAAATAAAATAACTTCCTGCAAGAAATGTTCATGCTTTGTCCCTGAAAAATACACCAAGGATAGGGCAAGTTTAGTTCAGAATTCATCGTGGGCCATGTGAATAGGGGATGAAGTGAAGTCACTTTGGGAGGAGCGGTGACTGTGTGTGAAAATACCTGTCACTTGGCACAATCTGGTCCATTCCAAAGGAAACATGTTAGTTTTGTAGAGCAATTTTATAAGCCCAGGACACAGGTTGTGCTTCTCCCTCAAAGGCAAGGGGAAGAGGAGAGAGAGAAGTTGTGTTTTTCTGTCACCTACCCCTTTCACAGGAGGTTATGATACCCATGAGAAGGAGTCACTTGCTATTCTCCTACTGTACTGTCCCTCACTTTAGAGCTCTGGAATGCACAGAAGGGAGTACAAACTATTCCAAAGGGCATTTCTCAGTGAGTAGTATTCCAGGGCACCACATCTAGCCTTTTTTTCTGAGTCTGTCTTGACTCCACGTACACAGATCTACTGGCGCAATGAGGAGACCACCACCGACGGAGCAAAGCCTGCCCCATCCCACGCAACCCAATCACTGCACACACTCTAGCCCTTTAGTAAGTTAATCTGAAGAGAAACATCACCCTAATAAGAAAGCTTACAATGCAGCAGCCATTCTGGGACTCTCTACTGCCAGTGTCACCTCTGGAATGCAGCCACAGGTTTCTCAATACCAAAACCCAATCATGACTGCCACTACCAGGAACGAGAAGGAACATTTAGCAGTGAGACCCTCAAGAGGCCCAGTGGCAGCCTCCCCAGCTTGCTGTAGGTGTAACCCACTCAGCACACATTACATTTCCCATTCTGTGCCCAATCCACAGAGGATATGGGTCTGTTATAGCTCCCAGGTACACAGCCTTGCTCTGCAGCTCCAGCTGTACAGATTCATGCTTTTGACTCTGAAACCTCCAGTTCAGTCCTCCGAGTCAGCCAAGACGGCACACAGAGACAGAGCTGGTGAAACACTCCCTCTCCCTACAACAATAATGTGCGGAAAGGTGATCTGCTAAGCTAACCTGGAAACTCAGCTAAGGCCAGTTATAGGTCCCAGCAGGGGTGGCATCCAGCACATTTAAAAAAAATAATAATAATAATCTCACCCTGGCCCACAACCAGTAAATTATGCCTCTTGGTATTTTCTAGTTTGTTGAAGGCACCATTCAATAAAGTCACCAGTTTCCTCAGATGCAGTGAGATCCCTGGGGCTGAGCTTTCCCCACCCAAGGTGCACATGACTCTCACCCTGCGGGGGATGGAGAATTGCTCTCCCGACCCCCGTAACTGTTGTATGAGAGAACAATGCATCGCAGTGTATTTTCAACAGAGGAGAAAGCATCAAGAGAATTTGACACAGGTGGATTGTAAGCTCCTTCCGGCTCTGAATGCCTTCTGCCCTGCTTAAGTGGGACCTTCGCCACCTAAACTTGGGATTCATTCAGTCTTGCAGATTACTTGTAACTCTTGCAGATTACTTTTAACTTGTAACTTGTAAGTCTAAACAGCCCCAGTGCTTCCCTTGACCTTCATGAAGTTTCTTAAAGAGTCTGGAGGCACAAGGCAATTGTCAAGCAAAACAATGGAAGGTAAAACTTGGGGAACTGACCCTCCTCAGGAGATGACACTTCACTCCTATTTGTAAGCAGAGAGAACCCCTGCCCTATTCTTTTCAGTATATGTTGATTACACCATTTTACTAGGGCTTCTTGAATGACCGATGCAGGAATTAAGCATTAGCGTTTATAAGAATTAAGTACAATATGGAAATAAATTCACCTCCTATTACTTTCTAGTGTTCAGAAGACCTATCCAACACAATGGCATAGGATGGTAATCCCCGATATGTGGGAGTTCGTTTCACATCCAGGGGTGGGGGTGTGGGGGAAACCCATCATACAGACTTTATTTGTAGACCTTTCATTCTAAAATTACAAGATTTCTTTGACTGTGCATTCCCCTTAGGATCTGGTCATATTTTGAGACACTGGATATACAGATTGCTTCCTGAAGTTATGGGAAGCTGGCAAGACATCCAAAAAACAGAGCATACCACACCGTGGCTTGTGTCTGGAAAGGGGGGATATCGGAGTTGTTAAACGTAGGCATCCTGCTACAACTGCAGGACTTGTAGCTTTGTTACAAGATGACTCTGAACACTTGTGGACACAATCTATAGAATGGAGAGATCAGTTATTTCACTGATCAATCGTGCTGCTTCTTTACAGTGAACAGGACTGAAATTTATTTTTTAATTCTACAGTTATTGTACATCTTCCCCAGATGCCCCCCACACACAAACACACAAAGATGTTGGGACAATTTTTGCATGGATTAGGTATTTATAGGGATATTGTTGGTTTTGTTTTCTAACAAGTATATTTTAAAAACTGGGTTATGACAAGCAGTTTGTGTGTATGTAAGGGGTAGTGTCCAAGTGGTACAGAAATGTAACACATTTGCATAATCTATTTTCCAGTTTGCTTGAATATGTTCAAAAAATAAGGTGACTGGTTGGATGGTGGCTTCAGATTATTGTGAATGCTTGTTCACATCACAGAGCAACTAGGACAGTGTTGTGCAAATGGCAGTCACCTCTCAGGAGAGGAGGAGGACAAGAATAGCAAATGATGTTGCAAAGTGAAGTCTGAGATGGATTAGCAGGAGCGGAAAGCTTCTGTGGGACCTATGGGCCCCTGCCTAGCTTCAGGCAATGCTACAGTACTCAAAGTGAGGAAGTAAAATTCACTCATCATGGAAAGAAAGCCATTACTGACAAACTAGATGACACTAGAAAAGGTAGGTTGGTTTTTAATCAACAGAAAGACTACATAATGTGTAACATTAGTCACAAAATAATCTATAGGTGCACTAATGTATCCCTATACCAAATCCTGGACAGTCAGTAACCTGTCTCCCATATTATCGATCATATCTCACAGGTAAAAATGCACCCTGAGCTTGTTTGCGCATTATAAGTGGAGCGACAACATGGAATTGTATCCATCATAAAATGCTACGAAACTTCATTAAACAAGCATCTCCCTCAAACAGATCATCTTCACTTCAGCTGACTGCATGATAAAGGTGCCCACCACCCAGCACACAGGCCTAGTTGTTATCGTTAAAGCAAAGTCAGTCACACAACAAATCTGTGAGGGAAGAGAGAGAAGAAGGATTTCCAATCTTGTCTCAAATTCAATAGTAAAACACATCTAAGTTCTTTGAGGCTTTGACTGTAATGTATTCTAGATTCGCCTAGCACACTGGGACCCAACCTCGTGGTGGCCTACCACAATATAAAAGGTAAGTAAAGCAAATAATAACCAATAGACATGTCTGTTAAAAAATATTATTTCTTCCTCTAAGTGTTCAGCCTTAGAGCCTCTGGGAATAGGGGTGGGGGTGAAACAGCCTGGTACTAAACTGAAAGCAACTATCATCTAACCAAGGCCAGGCTATGACCCTTAGCTGTGCTAAAAACAACACATGCACCCAGCCAAGACAGTGATTTCCTCATTCAAATGAAAAACAGCAAGTACAAAGCCTAAGATGGAGACTTCTGAAGTCATCTCTCAGGACTGGAGATCAAACTGATGTTGACTGCACAAGGTTGAGCTGCTAGTTAAACCTTGAAGTGGACAGGAAAAGCAAGGGCTAAAATAAACAGACATCTCACACACACACACAACCCCCCTAACAGAAGGCACCATATCGTGTGGCAGTGATTTAAGTCAGGAGCAGAAGAACCACACCACCCTCTTGGCAACGCACTCACGGCAGGATCTTTAGTACAGCATGAAAACGGCACGCCACAGCGCTCTCGACTCGCGTTGGAATCCGTGCAATTGAAGTAAATATTGAGGTTCCAGTCGTCAGCTCCGAAGGCGCCACAGCACTGCCACTAGAGGAAACACACAAGCATGAGAACACTCTGACTCTGCACGTGAAGGATGTCACCACCAACACCACACACCGGGAGATTAGAGGGTATCTGGCAATGAAGAAAAATCAAAATTCACTCCCAGTCCCATTCTGGAAAGTGGGTCTTAAATCACTGTTACAATAACTCCCTGTTAAGGATTGTATGCGGACAGAACCCACCCACGAAGGGCCAAATGTCTCAAGTAACTGAATCTTCAGTACAATACACCAATGAGCCAGACAATCAGCTGCTGTATGTGGACATGTCTCCACTGGAAGCCAACAGAGCGGCTTTGATTTACACCGGTTGAGGATCTGGTCCAGTGTTAATCTATATTAATTTTAAATTGAACTAAGCATGTATAAAAAGCGTTTGACAGTGCCAGTCAACGTCCCTTTTTCACATATATGGCACAGCACGTACAGCAGCAGAGCGAGGTTCCTCCACAGGGCCTTCAGCTGTTACCTCCTCTAGGGCTGAGAAGGCAGTTTGGTTTCCATGCTCAGTTCACCTTCGGTATCTCTGCGGAGATTGTTTGCTAACAAGGAATTCAGTTATGATGGCAGTTTTTAATTACGTGGACACCCCGTTCACTAGAAATTGCACTGAGACCCTTTCATTTCACACCAGACAAAGATTTGTGGCCACCACCAAGCTAGGTCAGATCTAACACAATGTGTAAGGCTCTGCGCATCCCGTCACTTATTCACTCTCTCGAGGGGAAAAAACAAAATTATGACCTATTCAAACATGAACATAAATGAATTCATTTTGGTGGGTGGATATCCCTTGGATGGCAGTCAGCTAGCACTCAGGCCCTTAGACACACAGGGCCAAATTCAAAGGTGATGTGTAAGGATGCAGGCTCATAAGTTGAAGTGCCAGGAGAGAGGAGTGTAGCAAGAAAGAGCTAAAGAGCATAAGAATGGGGTGCTCAGCATAGGCCATTCCCTGCTTCGTTTACTTCTTCAGACAGCTCCTTGGTGTGTAACTTACACCCACTTTGATTCCCTTGCATGTCGGTAAGTGGATACATGTAGGTTTAACTTAACTTGTACCGCCTCACACACCACACTCTAAATTTTACCAACTCTCTCTAAGACAGAGAGATAGGAGCCATTTGCAGATTTCTCATGAGGAGAACTTCAATAGTGGCCCAATTCCAACTAGGCTAATTACATTCAATAGACTTTAGAATTTCCCCAGCAGTGTCACTTAGATAAGTAATTCTCCTCCTCCTATCCTGAAGCGTGGCATAGAATTCTAGCCCTGCTAACTGGATGTCAAGTCCCATCACAGAACTGACTGTATTTTCAATCAGTCTCAATAAAATAAAAAGCATTGTACGGGTGCTACAACTAGAGATGGGCAAAAATCTTTTCAGTGAATAAAGTAAGTTTGCCCAAAAAATGCATTTTGGGGGCACCAAAATTATTTGCAAATTTGGATATAATTCAGTTAGTTTCTGTCCCCAGGCCCAATAAACAATAATTCCAAAAATGCCATTTTGAATTGAGATTTTGTTTTGAAAGGTTTTGTTTCAATTTGAACTCAATTTTTTTGGCTTTTCATTTTGTCAAAAACAAAAACAAAACAAAAAAAACAGGAAAAAAGATCAGTTTCCATTCAAAACTAACTGAATTTTCTTTTGGGTTTTTCATTTCGGCCACTGAACTGAAAAATCACTTAGCTCTAGTTGCAACTCTTACAGTAATGAAATAGTTTAAATCTCCATGAACAATGGAGAAGTCTTCAGAAACTTCTTGTTAGGAAAGCTATGTGGTCTAGTGGCCTAGAGCACAAGAACGGACATCAGGAACTTGCAATTTCTAATTCTGGATCTACCACAGACTTCCTCAGTGACTTTTAGACAGTTCACCTAGCCTTTTACTTCACTTCTCCCATCTATAAAATGGGGTTAATAACTAGTCTGACCTCAAATGTGTCTGTTGTGAGGATTCAGATGTGTCTATAAAAGTGCCATTAAGTAATTGCTACATATATGTGTGAAGTATTCTATTCTAGAGCATTTTTGTGGCTACTTGCAAAAGGCAACAGACGAGAAGTAAAAGTAGAAAAAGTCTTCCTTTAAAGTGTGAACTTTGTTTTAAAGTGACAGAGTCCAACTTACATATTCCTGTGTGAAGTCTATAAGGTTTTGCAAATCAATGTCATCTCTGTATGCTCTGATGTTATTGTTTATAAAGAAATACAGCTGGTCTTTGATCCAGTCTTTGAAAACAAATGCCAGAACACCAGCAGTGAGCTCCAGGAAGAAAATAATTCCCAGGAATACAGAAAACTATGAGGAAGAAGAGAAAAAAATTAGAAGAAAGGACTATTTTGCCTCTGTGACTAAAGGCTTATTTTCCAAGGCTTACAAATAATCAGAATTTGAATGACCTGAAACTGGATGTTTTGTCAGTTTCAGCAGGCTTATTAACACATGCTCAATGTACTCCTACCCACAGGAAACTATTTTAAAAATGTTATTCATAACCAGCTGATAGTACAGTTCTGTCTGGCCCTTAAAGACCAACATTTTCAAAGTTGGGTGCCGAAAGTTGGACACCTCAGCCGGGATTTTCAAAAGGACCCAAGGCAGTTAGGTGTGAATGTAAATGGGACTCCCTTAGGCCCTCCCCTCTGATAATATGATAATAAATCCATATTTAGGTACCTACATTTTCAAAGGTGTTGAGCAGCCAATGGTACCACTGAAAATCAGTTCACTTCTTTGGGTGCCAAAAATTAGGTGCAGAAATCAATCTACTGGCACCTAGGTCTGTATAGTTTGGCCTAAGGAAGCATTTAAAGCAAACACTGATAACAGCAGAAATTAATTAATGACTAAGTTACAAAGGAATGTCTGTGGAATTACTCATTATAATCACATTAAAACCAAGTAAGTTCATTACGATTAATGCAAATGCAAATGCAGTAAATGCCACAGGCATTACTAATGACATGCCACTTTCTCTGGAGTTTAAAAAATTCCACATGATCTGGATATATTACAACTCTCTCCATTTTGCAACTGTGCCTGTGATTCTCATTTTAGTATATTTTTTTTTTGTTCATTCAGATGCATTTTTAATTTTTCCTGCAGCTACTGACTAGGAAGCTATTGGCAGATGTGTTCATTTTAGAGGAGTTCAGAGAAGCAAAGGAAGGAAGGAACAAGAAAGTTACTTTAATTTTCTAGCAACACACAAGTAAATTGGAACTAGCTCAGGCTACTTTATAGAAAGGCCTTGAGAACAGTAACTAAGAACCACCTCCTCCCTCTATACAGCACTTCCACCCCGGGAGCCAAACATGGCACCGGGAAGTAGTTGTTTAGCAGGAAGCTTTTTCATGTACATTTAACAGTTTATGGTGGTGATGGCGTGGATTAGACGACAGCTTGCCAGGAGCCAAAAGGGTGAATTGGGATCACACTAAACTTGTGTAAAACAGACTAGCCTGCAGTCACACATCTTTAACTTGAAGATATGCCCCACAGGGAGCGTGGTTTCCAAAAGACAGACAAACCAGGCTGCTCAGCTCAAGATGGCACATTGGCTGCTGGGACCTGCCTGCAGTCCCTTTCATGACTAATAGTCCAGGCCAAGGGAGACTCTGAGCAGTGCCGTCATTAAGCAGTACAGGGCTGTGTTGAATTAGTCTGGGTTGTACAGAGCCAAGGACATCTACAGGGTCCCAGGACCTCAATAAATAATCCCCTATATAACTCAATATTGTCTCTTCTGTACCATGAGCAACACCATGGGGCCTGCACTCCCACACCAACGATCACATGGGCCACATTTGCTAGAGTATTCACAGCCCCCCACATGTTACACAGGCATCTCATTATGGGCTTTCAAAGCTCAATACGTACACTATTAAAGTAGGTTCTCTCCTTTAGTGAGAGAAAGGCCACGCATTAGATTGGATCCTTATAAAAGGCATATGCTTTGCATTATGGCTCTTAACAGGATTGCATCACGCAAGTTAAAGCCCAAAAACATAAGCAATTTGAATTACAGCTCTCTAATAGCTTCATTGTTTAAAGATAGGGAAAAACTGACTTAGTAGAGAAATACAACACACTTGTGTCAAATATCCCCAAAAGCATTTTACGAGACCGCCACAGTTAAGCAACAACTTAGGACATGGTTTAACTTATGGAATTGATGAATCCAGAAATTGCCAAGGTTACTTACAAACTTGAGAAGGAAGGTATTTTCTCGCAAAGCTCCAATGCATCCTGCAAATCCCAAAATGAACATGACTCCTCCTACCACAAGGAAGAGCCAAACTGGATCAAAGCCTCCCAGGTCAGTAATGGACGAGATATTGGACAGCACTCCCTGGGAAAAAAAACAATGCCAAGGAATAACAGATGTGTCTGGCCTTTTATTGTGCAATGAGTCTGCTTTTGCTTTTCCTTTAAAATACAGAGATCATCATCAAATGAATGTTCTTCGGCATGTATCAAAGAGCAAAATTAATAAGCTCTTGGATGCACAGCAGATGAAAAGATGGACATTTCCTTTCAATGCACTGTATGCACTGAAACAATAAGATACAGTGTGAACAACAAAATGCGCAGAGTGTATCATGCCGCATACAGCTATGTGGGATTAATTTGCCAGGAGGTCAAAGTAGCTAATGGGGTGGGAGGAAGATTAGTCTATTTTTGTTAGCTATTGTGAACAACATTTATGTGTTTTATATTTTGGAGTAGCAAGTTAAGTTCTTACATAAACAACACAATTACAAATGTTATGGTCTAAAAAGCCATCAAAGGCAACAGCTGACATTTCTTTAATTTGATTTTAAATGCAGAAAGTGGATACTACTCAGACATAGGAAGCAAGTTCCTCAGTTGTGGGTAGTAGTTATTATGGGCCCTTCCTCCTAAAGATTTTAGGTTATATCTTGGGCAGACTAGATAGCCGGCCAATTCAGACCTCAGTTAGTAGTAGTGACAAAACCTCTGCTGAGTAAGCGGAGAGCAGCTAGTGACTCAATAGTTAGCAATAAAACTTGGCAATTAATTTAGAATCTCTTAGGGATTTTAAATCAGGGGTGATGTGTCACATTATTCAAACGTAAGAGCTGTGATATGGCTCGTTGAAAACAGGATATGCAGCGTTCCTGACAGAACAACCAGAAATAACCAGCCTGCATGCCATCTCCAGCTATGGAGCAGAACTCAGGTGGATTGTGATGACAGCAGCATTCCTGAGAAGGTATTATTTAGTTTTTTTTAAATGCTCTGGGACAGATTCTGGCTGATCTTGAGACGTGCAAGGATGAGGAGAGAATGCAGGGAGCCCTTTCCCTGTTCTTGCAAGCCTGCACTAAGACTATCAGGATTCTGGTGCTGACTTAGAGACCATAAGATGGCCGGAAAAGTGCTATGGTCTCGTACCATTCCTCCTTTCACACCATCTGGAAAAAGACTGCATATTAGAGGACAGGAACAACAACAACAACGACATGATGCAACCCAGGGCTGGAGTACATGCTAGAACCCAATAGCATGGATGTCATCCTCCTGGAACAGATCTCTCTCCTTCCTACCATCCTCCTGCCTAAACACAGACATTATCGCCTGTCTCATTTTATTTATATTTATAATTTTTTATATATATATATATACACACACACACACACACAGACAGACATAGGGTAGGGCTACGTTTGGAGCTGGGGGAATGATGCCCAGGTCAAGTACACATACTCACTGTGACCTAGGCACCCCTGTGTTCACACCATACCCCCTACTGCAATGGTACTTGTACACAATGTGTTTTTTGAAATATTATTTGAAAACAAATGACACACTGGTTAGTAATATCATTGTGAAATGTATGTGACAATGCTGCGTGTGGAATTATGGACACTCACTTTGAAGGGCTTTAAAGTCTGTGACTAAAAGGTGTTTAAACCAGGTACGTCAGGGGGAGTTGATAAACAGGTCTTCTCAAGACAAAGGGAAGAGGCCAACACCTCAAACCATGTGTGGCCAAATTCAATGGGCTGTTCATTCATAGTGGAGGTTGCAGGAAGAGAACATTTACATTGTAAAATTGCAGCAGGATGCATCACACTGGAATACACCAACAGACACCTTAATCAGGATGGAGTCGATCCCCTGGAAGAGACAGGAGACTGACCCCCAGGGGATCAATTTGACCCTTGAAATGAAATGCAAACTTTGATATGTAAGGACACACAGAAAGACTCCGGATCATCCTTCAGCTGAGGAGACAAGGACTCTGTGGTGATCCTGGCTAAGAATCAGTTGGCTATTGCTGGAAAAGGAAGATTAGTGATGAAACTATCTTGAATAAAGACTGTAACATGTTAAGTTACGTCATAGCCATCAGAAAGTTTATTTTTACTTTTATTTGTTTGTAACCATCTCTAGCTTTGTTCCTACTACTTGGTGTCATTTAACCTAAGTCATTGTATTAATAAAACAAGTTTATTTTTATTATAAACCAACTCAGTCCTGTGTTTGAAGGGAAGGGTGTGTTTACCACTTATGTTACTAATAAGCTGTAATCCACTGATTCTTTTAAAAAGAGCAGCAAACTTGGGGGGTGGAGGGTGAGAAAACCTGGATTTGTGCTGGAAATGGCCCACCTGTTGATCACTTTAGATAAGCTATTACCAGCAGGACAGTGGGGTGGGAGGAGGTATTGTTTCATATTCTCTGTGTGTATATAAAGTCTGCTGCAGTTTCCACGGTAAACATCTGATGAAGTGAGCTGTAGCTCATGAAAGCTCATGCTCAAATAAATTGGTTAGTCTCTAAGGTGCCACAAGTACTCCTTTTCTTTTTGCGAATACAGACTAACACGGCTGTTCCTCTGAAACCTGTTAATATCTTCTGTGAGTGTCCTGTGGCAGGGCTGTGCCTTGCCAAGAAACATCTCTGTGGAGCATGGGCGCAAGAGTTTGAAGATCATTGCCTGCTAAGCAAGGTTTGGCGTGGGAGAGCCTTGGGCTGTTTACTGGTGAGGAAGACAGACCGGTGTGGCAGGGAGCAGACAGTCTCTAATCTCCTGCCTAGCTCACTCTTGCCAAGGCAGAATGTAACAGTGGCTCACAGCACTGGGTACCCCTCAGCAGAATGTTCTACTTGCACTAGGTCTCATCAAGCAAGCGTGCTAAAAGTACTAGCATAGCCATGGTAGAACGGGCAGCAGCAAGCGGCAGCATGGTCTGGCTGCCCTGAGCACAAACCCACCGGGACTCTATGGGTAGGTACACGGGGCAGGTAGCCCATGCCACCACTCACTACTCCCCATGCTACCACAGCTACACTAGTATTTTTAGCTTGAGACTGTCTACGCGAGCTGGGAATCACACCCCCAGCTCCAAGTGAAGTTGTAGCCATAGTGCTAGTCTTTTTGTCAGTCACTAGGAAGACCAAAATAGACTTAATGGCGTAATATTACAGAATAATGCCGACAGTCGTCCTGGTCTGAAACAGGCTGGTTGGTGTGCGAGCTGAAACAATCATCGTCCCTTGGCATTTCCAGCAAGTTTATACCACTCGGCTTGCTTCTAACTCTCATTATGTATATCCTACAAAGGAGGCACTGCAACAGCTCTATGGATATGCCTGAAATGTAACAAGAAAACAGGCAGATCCATGAAAAAGTCTAGCCTTGGAGGTACATGTGACGTTGCGCGCTATATGATTTTATGAAAATATGCCGATGAGTGTGACTCTAATGTAACTGGAATATGCTTCATGCAAAAGGTCTCTGGTAAAGCATCATTACAAAGCTTATAGCCTACTGAGTGTGGTCATCCAATTTGTATAAATGTATCACTCTTGTATCTAAAACTAGAAATATGAAATATAATGCGGAGGTCCTATTGTAATTATGCAAAGTGTGAGCCATTAATGATGGCTTGGAATCTTGATGGCTCCCATTAACCAGGACAATTGGCTGTAAATGGCTCTGGTTACTTGTAAGTCTTCCTGTATACCTGCGTGCTGGCAAGTGGGTAATGAAGTCTTACAGTGACATATGATCATGTCACCTGAACTGGAATCCATTTTTAACCTGGTGCTTTTCCATTTAGAAGGAGGGGTGGGAACCCAAAGAGGGACAAAGGATTCCCGCCTTGTGCAAAAGATATAAGGGGGTGGAACAGAACAAAGGGGATGGCAGTCATGAGAAATCCCCTAGCTACCACTTGAGCTGGAACAAGGGCTGTACCAGGGGAAAAGTCTGGGCCCAGACTAGAAAGGAGTCTAGTCTGTGAAAGAAGCTTATGGGAACATCTCTGAGGATGAGGTTTCATCTGTAATCAGTTTCTTACTGTATTAGGCTTAGACTTGCATGTTTTTGTTTTATTTTGCTTGGTAATTTACTTTGTTCTTTCGGTTATTACTTGGAACCACTTAAATCCTACTTTTTATATTTAATAAAATCACTTTTTGCTTATTAATTAACCCAGAGCAAGTATTAATACCTGTGGGAGCAAACAGCTGTGCATCTCTCTCTATCAGTGTTATAGAGGGCAGACAATTTATGAGTTTATCCTGTATAAGTTTTTGTAGCCAGACAGCCAGCCCCCCCCCCCCCCCCCCCCCAGACCAGCATTGCTGGAAACACAGGAGGAAGCAGGAACAGGGCACTTAACATATATTCCAGCACAGCCTTTGAAGCACAGGTGTGCTGCTACAATGTGCCTCTGGGAACAGATACGACGATTAAGCTCACAGCAGGCAGAGGCCCTGTGACAGACCTGGCTCTTAGCCCCTACTAAGTAGCGTGATGCACACACACCAACATCCTAGGTGGGAAAATATTTACCCTGATAAAAGAAATGTCCAGTAGTCGAAACTTATTGTTTCTCTCCCTTGCAAGTGTAAACTACTCTTGCAAAAGCTGGCGTCACCCCGACAGACCAGCCTCAATTTGGCATAAGAAAGGAGAAAGAGAATAAAGGAGTACAGAGGTATAAGTAGGGGACCTACAGCACCATGATTTTTGAGTGCTTTTCACTATCTATCTGCTGGTCAGATAAGTGACAGCCTCCCAAGGCTTCTGCAGCTAAGAGGGTCCCTACGCCTTGTCCCTTATTCGTCTTTCCGCGGAATTGAGTGACCGATCCTGGCTTGGCACCGCTGGAATCGAGAGATGCAAGGAGGGTAAGAAGCACCCACACCTGATCTCCTATCTTTAGTGTACACATATTTTGAAATAGAGCTCTATACTTTGTTTTCTTTCTTTGGGATTGTGGCTTCAGTTTTGTAACTTGTTTGTGTGTGTGTAACATCTCTACATTTAAATAAGTAGGCACTAGCAATTTTGTAACCACATGATTAGAATCT